TATACAGATAGTATATCCAAAATATGATAGAGGCTCGTATATGTATATAGTTCGGGAGTAGCTTCTGGTGTGTGCCAGTGTGTTGAATAATAATAATAACATATATAAGATAATGTATCCAAAACATGATAACAGTTTATATATATTTAGTTCGAAAGTTACTTTTGGTTTATGAATATCACCCTTTTCATTTTGACTCGGTAATATTTTTCTGTAGGCTCTTGCTTTTTTGGTGTAAAATGTTTGATGCTTTTTGATCCAATTTCATTAAGTATAATTATAGAAGAATGTGTATGGATCTGGATAGTGTGTTATTTATGAAACATACTAGAAAACATAGTTTAAATTATATTATTATATATAGCTTCTATCATACATTATAAGTATTAACAAAAATATAAATAACAATGCGATTGTGAATGATTTGTAAATATATACCGTGGAATAAAAATCGGCTATAGAAGTATATTCCAATATATCTTGTATTATTATCTATAGATTAAACCCAATCTAATTTTAATTAGAATCTTGAGGAGACAGGATATATGAACAATTTTGGAATTATTTGAGAGAGGTATGATACAAGCTATATATTTATAAGAAAGCAAAACTATTATTACTAGCATATATGTTTTTACGATATTATTATCTTCTGGATTCCGACGGCCCAAGATTGTCAGAAATATCCCTTCAGTCCAGATCGAGCTCAATAGGCGGCCGATCCGGACAGGACCATATTGCTGATATAACATATTCGGGTTTTATTGGTTAACTGAAATTGTAATTCTTATTAATCATACATATGTTCTCTTCTTATCGACACCAGCACTGCCAGAGCGATCTTTGCACCCATTGTTAAAGACTCGTTGATGGCATCTAAGTACGCCCCAAAAACCCCAACGAACAATGACAGCAGCAACAATTGCACCTGATGCGCCAACTGCAACCCCGTCACTGACAACAGCAACAACAACAACAACAACAACAACAACAAAAGCAGCAATACCACTACAGGTAGCACTGCAACACCCACCCAGTCTTTATATGCTACGCAAGCCAAGAAGGGCATAGATGCCAAACAGGCCAAGCAGAAAGTCCAAGTCCGCAGAGTCCAGGGACAACGACTCCTACAAAAACCAACTGGCCCCTCTGAGTACGAATTTGTGTACCTCCCAGCCAAAAGATACGTCAATACCAGGAAATGAGAAAAATCCTCAACTCTTTTAAGATCCCCACCTCCCGCATTCTAGATATTTAATTCCCTGCCAGAGGGACAGTAGCTCTCCTCATCAATGGGGAGTTCCGCGAAGAACTCATCGCACTACTAGGAAAGGCCAAAGTAAGTCCACCGGACAACTTTGATCCCACCGCCGCCAACGTGATCGCCGATCCCAAGTTGAAAGAAGAGGCCATCGAGGTTAGGGTGAGAAAAGCCAGGCACTTTTCGACGCACGCCTGGTAAAAGCCTGCCTCCGCATGCCAACATACCTTGGCCACAGCATCATCCGACACTTCTTGTCCCCAAAGGCTGTCGTAAAGATCTTGCAGATCGCGGTCTCTGACTACGTGGAAGGCCGAAAAACTGACAGCACCATCGCCCCAGTAGCACCAACTAACGCCATGGATGGAATCGAATCCACCGAATCGCCACACACAGCAATAAATGAATAGACGGAAGATGGGTTTATTTAATGCCAATGGACTACGGCCCAAATTGGTGAATGTGATAGATGCTTGTGAGACGAACGATATTGATATTATTTTTGCTACAGAGACTTTCCTGCCTGAGAGCGCCCCTGCTATCCAGTGCCCTTGGACCCAGATACACAACTTTGCCATTCCAACGACGTTGCCAAAGCCAATGGACGGCATCTCGCTACTTATAAAGCCAGATTTTCCTCATCATGTACACCCCCTTCCAATCATTAACCCCCACGTTTTATCGTGTAGGATGTATCCCTATACTATACACTGCGTATACCTCCCACCACGATTGATATCCTCTGAGTGTCAAGAGCAGCTGGTGTTGTTACCCGCCGACAACTTCACCATTTTTTGCGGCGAATTCAACGCTCGACCACACCACACAACTGGGGACACTCGAGGAAGACTACGAAGTGAAATTATGGCAAACTGGGTTAGCAGTAAGAATTTAACATGTGGAATTCGGAGTTGGCCTTCGGCATCCCAACAAACGAGAGAGTCCATACATCTGGCAGGGTCTTCAAAAGTATTATCGATTTCTTCTTGTCATGAGAGGAGCAATTCCATGATATGCAGATGAAAATCCATGACGAACTCGCCTTGGACTCTGACCACCACCTTTGTGAGCTATCTTTTCAGCCTGTGTTTATACCACAGCTCCCGACAGAAAACTCTGTCCGTCGACTTTGGAAGCTTCAACGACTGGAAATCGAAGAGGTCTACAAAAAATACCAAAGACGATTTGAAGTGGGTTCAGGTACACTTCAACGAGAGATCCAACAAACCCTGGAAGACACTTCCATATCGTGCCCTGTTGTCTTGGAGGCCTATTCAGAACGTCTCAATGAGACAATCTATAAGGCTTTGGATGATTCTGTTGGGCGAGCGTCACCACGACCAAAAGTTTGGAAGAACTTTTGGAATGCCGAATTACAACACCTAGCTGACCGGCGTCAAGAACTATACCGTTGGCGACGCCGGGTTGGCAATGACTTTGAACGCATTAAAGCCCATGCTTAGTATGTTGCAGCAAACCAAGATCTGCGAACAGCAGTTCGGGCGGCACGACGACAAATCTGGTACGATTTCTGCGACAAAATCCAAAAGGCTCCTTCAGAGATGGTGAGTGCATTAAAGAGAATGAAGATTCGGCAACGATCTCCGATTTCTCTGACATCTCCAGAAGGACCACTTACAGCCGCTAATAACATGATCGACCACCTTGAGAATGTTTTTGGTGGATCTACGGAAATACGGACTGAACCGGCGGTTACACCAATGGAGAGGGAAGTACCATGGGACGTAGACCAAGTCAAGGAAGCTATTCGTCGTTTGCCACGACGGAAAGCATCAGATATTGATCATATTAGGGCAGAGATGCTCAAGCCTCTTGTATCAACTCTAGGTCCTCTACTCCACATGCTCTTCAAGCTGTGTTGGAGATGGTCGTGGACGCCTGTCGCATAGAGAACGGCACAGGTAGTACCTATCTACAAAAACAAAGGAGCGCACGCAGATCCCTACAGTTATAGGCCCATCAGCTTGACCTCGGTGCTTAGGAAGCTTTTGGAGCGATGTCTGGCTGAGGAACTCCTTTTGACCATGCCAGAATTAGACATAGCCCAGGGAAGATTCCTCGCTAGCCGTGATACCCTAGACCAGGCTCTCTGTCTCCACGAACTAATGAGGAAATACTCTGTTCCCAACCCTGAGCAAGAGCAAGCGCTCAAACTACCAGTTGTTGTCTTCCTGGACATCAAAACTGCATATAATAATGTGTATCGTAACGTCATATGGGACTCATTGCGACCTTTTGTGTCGGAACCCTTGCTAGTGCTACTTCAAAATTTATTTAACAATATTATTGTTAATGTAGTGATGAAAAATATAGCGTCCCGTGGTGTTACGCTGAGACATGGAGTCCTACAGGGTATTATACTTTCACCTTTCTTATATTCAATCTTTATTGATACCCTACCAAGTTTACTTCGGGGAGTCTCCACCCAACCATACAACGTTCGCATCCCCTCTCCCTCGTTAACAAGGTCCCTTCGCTTGTCCTCATACTGTATGTACGCATTTGACAGCCCAACAGCCACCCCTTTGTCACTATTAGAGGAGCTTAGGACGGTCACCTGTAATGTGTTCAGTGTTCCCCGGACGGAGGGGGATGCACCAGACTATCTTCCTATGTCAATGGCTCCTATCAACTGTCTTCTGTACGCTGACGATGTTGCCCTTATAGGCACACCCAAAGATGTGCAAAAAATGTTGACTGTAGCCGAGACACATTCAAACCTTCTGAGGTATAAGTGGAGTCTATCCAAATGCGAGGTTCCCAATGCCCCTCCCAATTCTTCCTTTTCTTTATATGGGAATACTCTTCCCACTTGCACTTCCTTTAAATATTTTGGATACCCTTTTGCTAGCCAAGGAATAGATCGAGCCGACATGTTTCTTAAGTCGCAGCAAAAAGCTTGTGCAGCAATGCGTAAGCTTAGTAGCTCGGGTGTACACATGAACGGTTTTGGTCTCCCTGCGGCTCTCAAAGCTTATCTCATTTTTATCCGCCCCATTCTTGAGTACGGCATAGCCATTGTTCCTGCTAGCCGGAGTGACGTTCAGATCCTGAAGAAGGCCCAAAATATGTGTCTCCGGACATGTATTCGACGGCCCGATGCAACGATGGAAGTTGTTCATATCGCTGCATTAGCTGCTCTACCCAACCTATTCACCCATTCCCGTGCTCTTTAAGCCAAATATCTTCGTCGTGCTGAAACACTACCCTCAGACTCCCTGATCAAAGCTCTTACCACGCAGCTGGACCTTTCCTAAGAAAAAACGACATGGGGTGAGCTTCGTCATAGTGTACTCTGGAAAAAGACCCAATTGCTGAAAGAACATCAACCTCGGTTGAAGGACCCATTAAAAGAATCTTATGTTCTACTGTGCCAAAAAGAAATCGACATGCAACTTGTGAGCGTTAACCGTCCGGTAACCGTCGCTAGAGGCTTGTGCAAAGCTGTCTGGGATCCGGTCTTACTACTGCCCTGCACTCGTTCAGAACGACACCGCCTGATCAAATGGCGAATTGCTTGGCTATCGCCTACACCATCAGTCGAGTGCCAATGTGGCGCTATCAAGGGTAACCGAAACCATATGCTTCTATACCCCGCCACAATCGCTCTCGTCCAAAAACTCTGGTCTTTGATGGACCCTGCTCCTCCCCCAGAGGTTCATCTCATCGACTATGCTCTCAACTGTCTCCCCAGGTCTTTCAAATCGCCTGGTACGTGGTGCGATTGCTGGCTGTGCTTGCTTTCCTTGCTACGTGTAGTTAATCAAACCACCTCATCCTACAATCTGCCAGAAGAAAAAGTTCATGGTCAAATCCTCATCGACCTTGCAGCAAAACTCCGTGCCACAAAACCAACCCGTCTCCACCGCATCCTGCCGCCCACCCAAGAACCTGTTCCTGGTGATCCGTTCCCCCATCTTCTATCCGAAATTTCCACCGTTCCTCGTCAACCCCCTCCATCTGTGCCCGCCCGAAATTGTGCCTAGGAGGACTGACTTGGTCTGGTATCGTTGTGTATTCTGGATCCATAAATGGATCGTCCGAGTTTCTAAAAGGAATCCCTCTTTGGAGTTCCTATCCCTGCTGAAATCCGTTCCTAATTCTGGTGCCGTCAGTACCTAGTTACTTATTCCCGATTCTTTCATGTCATTTATTTTTCTTATATATTTATTTCACCTGTATTCTTACCAGCTGTATTATCTATTTTAATCTTAGTCTTTCTAAAAGCCGTTTTCCCCCACAGGGGGTTTTTTACGTGCTCTCTTTACTGTTTTTGCTGACTATTCATCCTTGTCTCTGTCATGCGTGTTCCATACTTTTTCTTTATTTATCTTTCACTTTTTACATATTTTTTATTCCTCCTCATATTTAGGGGGTTACTTTTATTATTTTCATTTATTCTTCAGCTCTCATCGGGTAGCCAATATGCTAAAATGCGCAAGGCCTAGAAAAACCCACAATAAAATATTTTCACATGTTCTCTTTTTATACTGGGCCGACTTCTGTCTACTATGAGATGTAATATTATATGAATGACGATTCCCAAAAGGAATGAATATTCTCAAAAAGGATGACGGGATGGATGGATAGGGGAATATAGAAGGAGGATGCAAGCCACCGTAAAAAAAAGTTTTTTTTGTTATGATTATGGCGCAGTGAAGGCCACTTTAATATATCATCCTGTCTGAGCGATTGTAAGTGAGAACTAGGCGGTTTTTAAGTCTATGTATGGGGAACAGTATCCCTGTCAATTGATTCTGCTATGTTATTTTAGCTTATTGATACACAAAAACCGCCTGCGCAACCAATTGGTAATAACAGTTTACAAAAAAGTGCATTCTGTCCGAATTATGGATTATAATCCTTAGTTTGTAAGAAAATATAAAAGGAACATACAATCAAGTATATTTTGTACCAGTTCAGCCAATATATTGGTAGACAATTGGGTGAGTGTGCGTATGTGTGTGTGGTGGATTAAAGAAAAGACATATATATATAATAGTCAACACAAAATACAATAACAGCTTATATTTATTCAGTTTTAGAGTAGCTTTTGGTTTATGAATTCTGTCTCTTTTAAAGTAACTTGGTAATATTGCTTTGTAAGATTTTACTTTTGTTTTAGTGTATAAGCTGTGATGCTTTTGGTTCAATTTCACTGAGTATAGTTCTAGTATAGTGTGTACCGATCTAGAAAGTACTCTATCTATTAGACATATTCCAAAGAATAGCTTTAATTATATTCATATACAGACCCATATCAACACTGAATACAATATTTAAGATTTTGCCAAATCAAGACATCAACCTCTTTAACATTCTTACACTAGTTTGCCTACTTTCATTTAATACGCCATGTTTAAAAACATATATACTAAGATATAGTTCTTAAAAAAATAAAAAGTAAATTTATTAAAAAACTAACAATGTGTTAACCCTCCACGAGCCTTCTTCATCTCATGTATGCGAATGAGCATTGACATGCAGTGTGTCTTGCAAACTTTAACCGGAATATTCTTCTACTCTATATGAATAGCTCTCTCCAACTTATTAAAGTTTTTTTGAGAGGGAATTCTGACCTTCACTTTCCTGATAAGATATGCCCATAAGTTCTCTTATGGGGCTGAGATCTGGACTGTTAGGTGGTCATACCATCACTGGCAAGCTCTGGCGCTTCTTCTACTCTTCTGCAAGCTTAGACTTAGGACAAGGAGCATTATCTTCTTGGTAGATAAACTCCCCATCATTGTTCTCACTGAGATATTCCATAAATGGAAGAAGCTTTCTTTTCATCATGTCCATATATGCATACTGGTCAAGCGTGTTTTTTATGGTTTTCAATGGGCCAACTCCTCCTGCTCGTACACAGCCCCAAACCATAATAGAGACTCCTTCACACTGCAGTCTTGTTGTAATGAACTCTTCTCTGTGTCCTTCTTGAGGATATCGCAATACTCTAGTATTGCCATCCCAGCTGAAAAAACGTAAACCTTGACTCATCACTCCAGATGACGCGATCCCATCTCTGATTGGTCTCTCTGGCATGATTAGAAAATTCCTATCGCTTCTTTTTGTGTGATTTTGATAGCGGTGGCTTGTATACAGCTTTACAAGAAAATAATCCAGATCTACGAATAGTTCGACGAATGGAAGACTTGGGGATGGAATGCCCTAAGGTGTCAGACATGAAGGTGGTAAGACCCCGAAGTGTTGTGTCACGATTCGTTTTCATCTCATTAATCAAGTGATTTTCATCTCGCTCATCCATTACCTTCGAAGTTCCTTTTTGCTTATCAGGAAATTCGGTTCCAGTATCTTGTCATCTATTGATTGTGGAATACACTGTTGATAGAGGTATACCATTCTTCTCAAAAATTTCAGCAGCTGTGCTATTTATTATAGCTCCACCAATTATCGGTCTTCTTTGATAGTCTGAGAGCTGTTTTTGCCTGGGAAGAGTTTTGTTATTTTTTGGTGAAACATGGTGTGATTTGAATGAGAAAAGCTTTGAAAAATAAATAAATGGAAGTGTAGTGATGATGTATTGATTTGGCGGAATCTTAAATAGTGTATTCAGTGTTGATATGGGTCTGTATATACACATCTTTTTAATACATACCTAGTCAACTTTTACTTAACAATGTCTTTCTTATAGCATAATAGTATGCTTTCCAGAAAAAAACAGGATCAGGACTTATTTATTTTTGGAATTATTAAATACTAAACTTCATTTTATTAATGATATTGAAAATAATCCGAATCTATAGACATAGAACTAAAGAAATATTCAAAAGTTTTATAGGCAAACGCACGATAGTAAATTATTAAATATGTAAAGTAAAAAATAAGGGTAAGAGTAAAAGTAAGAATACTTGATGGCTAATTTATATAGAGTCTATGGAAATACAGTTTTTTTTTACAAATGTTCTGTACAGATATTAATTTGTGTGGTGAGAAAAGAAATTAAATGTATTCTACTGTAGTTATAGCATAGTATTTTTTCTTGATAACTGCTTTTGGCTTCTTTGGCTTTTCATGACAAGTACGACACTTGATTATTAGGCGATTAGGACAGGTTCCGTTGGGAAATATAACAGATGTGTTTTTTGAACAATTGCATGTATTGTCGGGAGCGAGTACAAGGTTATAATGTCCACAAGATGACATCTTTACACACGCACAGGCCTCTTTAGATCCCTATTTTAGACATTATGAAGGTACCCAGAGAATAATGATAATAGTGACAGTATATATGAGTACAATTGACTTGATATTGTTATCAGTCAGAATAAAACTTACGTGGCTAAATCCAAAATCAATGAGATTAATGTTGAGATTCATAGTACAAAATATGGCAGCTAAAATAATAATAGTAATAATAAAATTCTATTTTTCTTCTAAAGAAAATATAAATCAAGCTTATATAGTTTTTTTTCACCTTTAAAGAATGATATGAAATAGAAATACTATGGCTTGGAGTTCTACAAAAGCCCAGGCAAGTTCCAAAAATAAATGAACCATATCACAAGAGTTGTACAATAAAGACCGAATGCCGATCATTTGCTTGCTGTAATGAGGAGACCAACCTGTCGAGCGTAATGTGCGTTCCCCAAAAACTAGACACTTTTTACTAACTGAGCTTTCTAAAGAAGTCGTCTTGCTTAAGGATTAGTCAGTTGATGCATCAGGTTTTGATTTATTTTAATGATGCGAGGAGCAAGTCATTTTCTTTTGGTGGCGTAGTATGCAACTCGTGTGTATGACATACAGCTATTATTCTTATTTTATGCATCAAATACAACAAATACTAGGAGTATAGTTAAACCCTTCGAATCTGTTTTGGTAATATGTTAGTACAACATTATCTCTGTCAACTATAAGTAGACTAGGTACGAACAAAATCTTTATATAGAATATATGCTCTTTGAACACAAGAAGCCTAGTAATATTGATATATATATAGTACACTAAAATATTCTTATCTTACTAGTGTACATGATATAAATTCACTCAAGCTTTGTCAATCTGTATAATATTATTTTTATATAATGGTAATAAATTAAATAAGACTTTAATACCTGATTTGTTTTTCAAGATTTTTCTTTTTTGGGTAGAGATGCAAGTGGTTCAAGAGTAGAGTCAAAGTAGTATTTTGGCTGAAAGTCCTTTTCATTTAATATATATATATGTATTTCAATGTTTAATTTTTCTCAATTATTTGCTATGATAGGTTAAAAATGAAAAGGGCTTCTGAATATCCCGCTGTTGCTCCATCTCTACCTCTATTTTTTTTTTAAAAAAAAGATCGTTATGGTATCATCTTTTAATACTATATAGTCTTAGTAGGAGATGTTTGTAGTGGCATGAGTCGACTCTTAATTTTGCTTTATTTTTGTTTTACTTGATACTCTTTTAATAAGTCAAATACTTTGTTAAGCATAATATACTCTATAGAAAACAAAAAATTGGCGCTTTTAGTGAATTGTTGCAAATCTTCCGGGGTATAAAGTCTCTTGTAGTTGAATTTCAATGAAGCACCAATTTCTACTCCACCATGTTTTTTGCAGTCAAAGCAAAACATCTTTTTCTTAGCTTTTTCAACCCATTACAAAACTAAATACCAAGTTATTCAAATCTAATGGCTTACCAGCGGTAGCTTGGGTGGGTCCTAAGCGGTAACCATGACGGAATTTTTTTATCTTCTTTGAAGTCTAGTCAGTCTTTGTCTCAAACGACGACCCTCCTGGAGATCTTCTTCTGCTTGTCTTCTGATACATCCAATCCGAATAACGCGGGTGAACCTTACAGGTATAGTCCCATCATATCTCAGATTTTTAAGTATATGTCGGAAGTTCAGGACAGCAGCAAGATCCCGATTCCACAAACGATGCATAACTTCTGACCCGTCCATGTTCTCCAAACAATTTAGATTGGTACATCTAAAAGGACTTATCTATTTTTGTTCACAAGGTCTAGAATCATTAAATGTTTTTAAAAGAAACATGCTTAATAGCTATCAAGGCCAGTATTAATAAAATACGAATCAGCAAGGTTGACAAAAGAAAGTAACTTGAGAAGAATTGACAGAAAAACGTCTACATTATGTACAGTTTGGTTGCCAAGATTGCTCGCATGCTCATTAGAGATTTTAGTAGATTGAGAGAATTGCAGGGAATCTGCCTTCTGGTTTTTCAAAGTAGGGATCAGGCATGACAATGTCAACACAAAACAGGTTTATACTCGTTGATAAAAAGAATCAATTAAGTAATATACATACCTACATCAGTATTATAGTATTTAGAGAATAGCCGTTTTCTTTAGATAAAGAATGTAAAAAGTATCATATAAAAGTATATATGTATACTGTCTAGTAAACTTATAGCTTAAAATGTTACTAAATATCATAAAACTTAGTACTTCTTCTTTGCATACTTCTTTATGTTTAACTTGTATTATTTTGACCAATGAAAACCATAAACTTCCAATATAAAACATCATGCATTTGTTTAACCAATCATAAAGAGAATACAAATACCTAAGAAAGGTATAGAGCTGCTATATTTAGAATATTTGATTGGATTAAATGCAAAAGTAACCTAAAATTCCATAAATCGTATTTGACAAAAAGTAAAACTAATAGGCTAAAACAGGCATCCTATTGGCTATAAAAGTTACAAGTGCGTAACTCGGTAAGAAGTCGGAAGTATAAATCCTGCCATTTCCTAGTAATAGTTAAAATACAGTGTATCCTACAACAGAAGGACATGAGAGTGCTTATTTTAAAAAGAAAAATATCTTTAATAAATCTTACTGGTAAGAACTAAAACCCTGAGCACTGTGTGCGCGTGTGTGTTTTTGTTCTCCTTGTATACATTTCTTTTCTCATTCTGCAATTATATATTATTAGATCAACCAGTGTGACAGAAAGTATAGCGCCATTCTTTTTAGGATATTGACCTCCCCAAAAAAAATTACTCTTCCGCCCGTTTTCATCACCTTATTCATGACAGACACACAACAAGCAGCCATCCAACGTGCATTGGATGCAGAAAAACAAGTACATCGTCTTGAGAGAGAAGTTCAGTCTTTACGTACTCGAAAAGTAAGCATAAGCACTCGCACACAAAACAAGAAAAAGAAGAAGAAAAAAAGACGAAATTATAGAAACTTTGCATCAGACACCCGGAAGATCAAAAGATATAGATTCATATGGAAACGACAGGAATGAGTTCCAACTGTCAGAGCAAGTCAAGGACCTAACATACCAACTGTCGGCAAAAACGATGGAGTTGCAACGATTAAAAGAAACTTCAAATGCACGCCTGTGTAAGCTCAACTTTGAATGATGTACTTTTTTGTTTTGTTTATAATGACATTAGAGTAGCAGAGTATGAAGACAAACTTAAAAAGATGCGGGGTAAGTACTGTTATTATGATAATCTGGTAAAGAAAAGAAAAACACTCGAAATGCTTTTATATTTACTGTTATCATTATTCAACGAACAAGACATCTTTGCTCAGGCAACCCGAAATTTGGACGGCTATCGAGCCACAATTGCGACCAAGGAAACCGAGTTGGCTCAGACTAATGAACTGTATAAAGAAACCAAGCAATCAGAAGAACGGTTAAAAGCTCAAGCTGAAGAAAGAGAACGTAAGTAGGATTTATGCCTACATACGTATAATATATACAGAAAGGGCCCATAACTTAATATATATAATAGGGGATTATGAGAAGTTAAAGACAGAAGGAAGTAGTCGAAAGGCAGTGGATATTTCTCAAATAAAACGACTGGTAAAGTATAACAAGAGCGCATAGTCATATGTATGAGGTAGAAAAGGGAGGAAGGTTGCTGTGTGGAAAATGCTTATTTGACGGTTTATTAGGAAGTCAAAGTGCGCCAGCTAACAACCCAATTGAGTCAAGTACAAGCGGACTATGAGAATTACAAGAAGCGAGCTCATCAGCTTCTTCAACAGAATTCGGATGCAAAAGATCAAGGAAAATATACTGAACTTGAGCATCAGTTGAATCAGATGAAATTGGAAAGAGCGTGAGTACTACTTACAATCCGAAGAATTGTGTTTGTTGATCTGTGCGTGGGAGTTAGTGAGCAAGCAATGGAGAGAACAGAAAATGAGAGGCAAGCACGTTTGGTTGAACAGGATCTTCGTCAAGCACTGGAGCGCATCCGGTATTTGGAAGATTTGGAAATCAAACAGATTTCCTTGCAGAGATCATTGGAAGAGAAGAATAGAAATATAAAGGAGATTGAGAAACAAATATCACAAGAGAGAGAGGTTCATGAACAAAGTGCGTAAGACAAAAAGGAGAAGAAGAGTAGTAGTAATAATAGTAAATTATATCCAGAAGAACTCATGGTTTGACATGGTGTAAAACAGCATTACAGAGCATTCGGACGGCACACGAAGAGAATCTACAGCTTCGATATGATTCTTTACCACAGAATAAATTCAGAGAACATACCCCAAAACAGGAACCAAGTCGTGTTCAGGAACAGGATAAAGAAAATGACACTGAAAGGGATGATGAAAGAGCGGGATGGGAAGCTACAATAGAAAGGTTAGAGGAAGACAACAAGCGGTTAAGAGAGGCTTTGGAAAATAAAGAAAAGGAGATGGAGGTCAAACAAGTGGTCTCAGAAGTAGCACCAGAGGCGATTGAGAGTAATGAAATTGATTTGTATGGTAAGTGCGAATGCTATGATAAAGAATTCTAGGACTGTAAGCTTATGTCGAGAGTAGCTTCCATGAGTCATCTATTATCCCCTTTTGTTGGGCGTCAGGAAGAGCCCGTTGATATGACAAAACAAGTGAGAAGGCTTGGAGATATGCTGCAAGAAAGTGAAGAGAAAGTGAATGCACTTAGGGCACAGGAAAAAGTATAAAAGAAAATTAGAAATTTAAACTTTAAACTTTAAAATAACTATAATAACCTTCTTGTTTTATTTTTATTTTATTTTGGAATCAATAGCTTCTCAAAGATGAAATAAGGCAAGTTTAATGCAAGCCGGATGTGAACTGGTTTTGGAATCTAAAGAAGTATTTTGTAATAGACGTCTTGATTCGTTTGACAAGAGGCAAAATATGAATGCCGAGTATCTCAAAAATGTACTTCTCAAGTTTCTTCAGTCCGAGAATAAAGTGGTATGTCAAACTGAGTCAAAGATAATTTAACGTGCACACTAATGAGAACTAATGATTGGCTGTTTAGTTTATGGTACCTGTACTAGCTAAACTCCTTTACCTTAACCAAGATGAAACAGATGAGCTCCAAAAGGCAGTGATTACGTAGACATATAGTATTATTGAAAAAAAAAGTATATAAAAAAAAGAAAACCATCTTGGCATTTATATTGTCTTTGATCCGCTTGTTCTTTCGCTTTCACTTTCAAAATGTCTGGATTTCCTACAGATTGCTATTTTTACCTTGAATCACTTGGCACAAACTTGGTTCTGGATGTTTATAACGGAGCTACTAAAGTATTAAAAGCACACAATAAATATCATTTAAACAATCGTTTTTACCAATATATACATATATCATTGCATACAGGCAGATGCCATCTTGATTATCTGGTCCATGAAAACCCAGAACAATGAGAACCAGGTAAAGCTTGAAGATGCTCAATAGCCTATGTGTCTGGCCTTACACCTAACGAAAATAATATACCACAAAGCTCTGGCGTAGTGAGGATGGTTTCTTAATCAACAAGAAGAGTAATCTTGGTAAGTCTGTAAAAGAATTCCAAGAATTCTCATCCAACAAATAAACTTTATGTTTCTGTAGTAATCGATGTTCGTGGAGGTAAGCCAAGCCTAGAAAGATAGAAGGAAAAAGGGATCCTGTTTTTTTGTTGTTGTAAAAACTGGCGCGTATGCTTTGAACCCAAGATTGATCTAAAATTGACTTTTTTTTTCAAGGCGAATTAAAGTCAGACACTCCCCTTGTCCAATACGATCGTAAGATGACCATGTAAGCAAATGATTGATTTATAGCAATAGTTTAGAGATACCGATAAATTTCTTTAGGGCACACAATCAGAGATGGGGATTCAGAAATGGCTATGTATATGTCTTGGCAGACCCTCAGCTTGTATTGGATGTCAAGGTAAGTCTACTGTAGCCTATTGGTTTTTTTTGACACAAATGTCTGGTATTTATTTAGGGAGGAAAGAAGAAGGACGGTAAGAAAGTCATTCTGTATGAGCGCAAGCAAGAAGATAATGTCAATCAACAATGGAGAATCGTTCCTTGTGGCGCATATCACCACAAAACACCTGAGGAGGCTTTAGCTGCGTATTCCATGCCTCCTCAATATGCTCAGCAGCAGCAGCAGCATCATCAACAACAACAACCATATGGTCAACAGCCATACGGTCAACAAAACCAGTACCCTCCTCAAAATAGCTCATACGGAGGTACTCCAGGCTATGTTATTCCTGACAACCAGAGCCCTCGTTATCCTTATGGCCAACAGCCCAATGTGTTGCCTTATGAGCAAGGTAACCCCCAGGGAACTTTAAGGCTGTTTGATCCTAATGCGTAATATTCTCTAATTGATAAATAGCCCAGGAAGCACACAAACAGGTGTACGAAGAACGTAAAGCACATTTGTCTCACCAAGTCATTGCAGGTGCAGCTGGCTATGAAGCAGTCAAGGCATATATTGCACACCAAGAATCAGAAGGAAAGCCTGTTAACCACCAGTTTGCTAAGAAGGCAATCGCTGGCCTTGTAGCAGCCCAGATGCTCAAATTTGCAGAAGAGCATGACTGGAGTGGCAGCGACAAGGAAAAGGCAACGCGTGAAGCCGAACAAGCTGCGGATAACTACTTTACGAGAGAGATCAACTCTCGACAGTAAAGAATAAGAATAATGGGATAAGATGAATACTAATACCAATAGGAAAAGAAAAGAAAATGTAGCTTACAGCAATCGCACAGTCTCATACTTATATGTTTTGACATGAAAATAAAACAGAGCTGTTTATTTGCTCACATGTAAAGTCAATTCTGCAACAAATGTTATTTTCTACGTTCAGTTGAAATCCGCTGTCTTAAACCCAAGACCAATTGTTCTCAAATAAAGACATTCATTTTATCCGGGTTATATAAAACTAATGGAGTATTTCATTGATATATATAAACAGAGTATTGAATAAACAACTATCCTTTATTGTTATACAAAGTCAACTTAAAGTATACCAAGTTCCAACATCTTATATGTAACAAAAGTAATTAACTCCCTTGTGTTCATAAGCATTACACCTGTATCTAAATATTAGGATTAAATATATTGTTCTCTGCCAAAAAAATGAATGAACGAATGTTAAAAATTGGAGGTCATTTATACTTGGAAATAAACCTATATTTTCTGCCTCAAAAATGAAAATGTATGGTGTGGTTGATATAGAGAATATAAAGAATATTTATTCAAAGTAGCGTTCATGACAGTATAAAAACTACACAACATTAATACTGATTTAGTTCAGAGCCATTTATTCCAGTATAAGTATAGCTTACTCAGGCCCCGCACCAGCCATGTATTGATAACTTACTATACCAGAAATTATGTTTAAATATAAAAGACCTCTTGAAAATAAAAATAAAAAGGTCTTGGATTTTCATGCTCAAGACAGGATGTTAGGCGTAAAGGGTTAAACGTTGTGACTGCTAAAACAGGCCATGCTACCAAACCTCCAGAAAAGTTACTTCAGTGACAAAATGAAGCAAGAGAATTTCTGCTTTCTTTTAAATAAGAAAAGCATACGCGTCAATAATCTACAATGTCGACACCTATTGATCGTGAAAAGGTAAACCCCATCTGTCAAATACCTTATACACAAAGTAAATGTACTATCCATAACCACTATAAAATATGGTTCATTGTCTTTATATAAAAAAGAAAAGAAATAGTGGATCATGAGGTGGCATACCAACCATGTCATGGTCGGATTAAATTCCAGGCACTTGCTTGTTCAGTTTGATTTAATGTATCCAATGGCGCTGTAGGAATGCCCTTTTTTGCTGAGAGTATTCACTAAGCAAGGAGCTCACCACAGGTAAAAGAGAAAGAGAAAAGAACAAAGAAATCTTTTACAAATTGCGATTAGTTGAAAGCAACGTTTACAGTATATTAATCATGCTCTATCCTTTTTATTAAAAAAAAATAGACTGAATGAATTTACAGTTGACAATACACCTTCTTCAGACGAATTACAACTTTATACATGGTAATATAATCTTTTCGAGCAATTGGAAGATTTTTGTTTTGTCCTTGTGCATCGAATATTCAAGCATTGGATCATCTCTTCTTGAAATCTATAGGAGAAACGCAACACTAGATGAAATTGCACAATTGATCCAGCAGGTGATTCCTGAAGCTCAACATCACGACGCGCGCATCTCTTTCCGCCTCGTCTACCTTGATAGTGCCCGCGCTACTTTTCTCTATCGGGACCTTGGAAGAATTTTGACTTCCAAACCATCGCCTGACCAGGCAAAAACTCTTGAGGATTGTAACTTTGTTATTGGTGATTACCTTGATGTGGCGATATTTATTGGACCACCCCCTGCTAGACAGGATGCTCGAGCTGGAAGAGAGGGTAGATTCAACCGTAATCCACGCTTTGGTGGACCTAGAGGAAATGATCGTGAGCCACGAGAACAGAGATTTGGAAGAGACAACAGAGATGCTAGAGACAGTCGGCCAGCCTTTGGTAATAACAGACGAGGCGATCGTTTCTAAGAAGAGAAGAGGAGGATAATATATATATATACACATACAAAAAGAACGGTGCAAATCAGAGTGAAAATTTACAATTTCAAATATATAAAAAAAAAAGAAAGCCCAAAAACATATAGTATACTAATGTAAAAAAAAGAGATTAAGATATATCTAAACGACTATAGAATTTTTGAGCTTCTCCAGTGATAAGGATACTACAACAAGTATTACACATATTAGTTAGAAATATTTATTGTTTAATGGATGTGGTGTATAAGAGAATCATCAAAAAAAAACATGGTGATAATGGCGGTGAATGAATTTCGAAAAGGAGCCAAGCACCAACACCAATTTGAACACCAAGTCCAGCGTATCCTGTACTCCCCTCCTCTCTCTCTCTTTTAGAAGGCTTCCATTTCTCATATTTCATTTTACGCGCTCTTTTACCCAAAACTAAAATACCCTATTTTTTTTGTTGGTGCGCCTCATTTCCACTCTTATTTAATATATCACCTTAATACCAATAAAAGAAGTCATGACATCGGTGCAGTTCACAGTTGGCAAGCTTGATGCTGGCATGGTAATCTTTTTTTAAAAATATATACATTAACAAACTCCTCTCACGCCAAGCCCACGCCGTATTCACGTATTAATTACGCCATGGAATAGGCTATTCTGCTCACAGAAGATCATCATCTGATCGAATTTCCTTCTCTTCTTCTTCCTAATGGCGTAACTTCCGGAAGCATCGTCAACATTGCCGTAACCCGTAATGTATCTGAAGAAGAGAAAAAGATGCAAGAGTTTTGGGACCTTCAAGAAAAGATATTGATGGAATTCGGTAACGCCGAACCCGAAAGGCCCGTATTGCGGGTCAAAAACATCACTCAGACCTCACTCTTGCTCGAGTGGGATCCTCTCGTTCTTCACACTGCAACTCTTAGATCACTTAGTATTTACAAGAATGATACCAAGGTCACTCAGGTAATATCAAGTTTTTCTTTTTATTTCTTTCTTTCTTTCTCTTTAGCTCTCAATTGACTAAGTATTTAAAATTGCAATATTTATTTTATTTTATTTCTACAGCATGTCCAGAGCGAGCAAAACGTTGCCAAGCTGTCCGGTCTGGAAGTTGATCATGAATTTGAGTTTTATATTGTCATCAAAACAACTGCTGGTAGTTATGAATCCAATAGAGTTGTCGCACGTACACACAGAATGGAGAACTTGACAGGTATCCGGGTAGCCTTTGGTATGTTTGAGGAACCTGAACCTGCAATTACCGAGCTCAAGGCACTGGTTGAGAAGATGGGGGCTACTTGGACAGATGAGGTGAATAGCGAAACCACCCATCTGTTGGCACAATTGCCAGGTGGACCAGGATATGACCAGGCTGTGAGATACTCTATACCAATTGTTAAGCCAGACTGGCTTGTGCAGTGTAATAAGAATAAGAAGATCCAAGTAAGTTGTTGAATTTGAGTTTGCTGCTGAAGTTTTTGAAAATCTAACACTTTGTGTGATTGCTTGCTTGCTCGCTATTTTATTTTATTTTTACTTTTACTTTTATTCTTGCTTTTGTTTTTGTAGCCTGCTCTTCCGTATTATATTGTTAGTGTCCACAATAATCACTAAGCTTTGGTTTCTCTCTCTTATTATCTTTTCTTTACTTCTTTCTTTCGATTTTATCTGTGCTATTATTCCTTTTATACATGTGTATGTGTGTGTACACTTATTTATACATCGAAATGAAACTTTTGATTGCTTCATGGTTTCCTTTATTTTAATCTTTTATGTTTGGAAGATTATTATATCAAAGAGAGAGAGAGTTCTTCTTTCTAATATTTGCTCTCGTTTATTTCTATTGGTTTTTTATAGAGACAATTATCCTGCTGAGAGAATCGCTATCCCATGGAACCCGTCAATAAAATTGTGTATCTCATATTGGTAAAGTTAGAACAAGAGCTGACATCTTTTTCCTCTTCTTTCCTCTTTGCTATTATGTGTACCTAATCAACCGATATTTAAACGCATTTATAGTCAAACGCCTAAAGCAAAATTAATTCTTCAAGGCAACATTTTCTTTCTGTATTTTAAATAGTAATAATAATAGTAATAATAGTAATAATAATAAAACCATTAGATGTTTCAATATTAAATATATTTGTGAGGTGTCCTTAAAGTCTACATTAGTTAAAAAGAAAAAAAAAACTATCAAACCAATTCATATATGCAAGCTTTAGTATTAAGAGGATTATAAATATCTAAAGAGCAATCTTCTAAATTATTCAATTATTATTATTATTATTATAATTATTTGGTAAATAAGCAAAGGCCAATACTCTATTATTTGACAGCATCTATCTATATGCTCGTTTGGTTCCCTGTCATACTGGATACCAAAGGTTTCTAACAAGTACATAACTTGCTGTGGATTTCATTTTTGAAGGAGATTATTTTCTGTATACTGAGAACTATAGTCAGTACCTGTTAACTCTTCGCGAAGCTTAAAAATAGGAAAGCGTAAGATGTGGGAGGGCCCTAGATTTTAGCATCACTTTAGAAAATCAACCCCCCCGTTTAATATCAGGACAATAAAACTCATTTTGTGTAGAAAGTAAACACAGCTGTCAAAGGAACCAGCTACAAAAAGATGTTAAGACCCTTTGTCATACTAACCACACTTTATGTTGCATAATGACTCGGTACTATACATTCATATATTCCAGTACACATTAACGCAATAGCAATGTTTGATTCCATTGTCTTTTATCACTTGAATAACAATTGTCTTTATTTTATTTTATTCTTTTTAAGAAAAAATGATAAATATAAAACAGAAACATTGGTATATAAGTATTGTCTATCAAAATTTAATCATACTTCTTTGCTTCATTCGTTCATCTCTTTTATTTACCTCACTTGAAATGAGCAATAATAACACTGCAGAGAGACTAGGTTCCTTGGAATCTAGTGTCAAAGAGCTCACCGAGAGAATGGATATTTGCGAGCAGAAAATCGATGATTTAGCGTAAGATTTTTTTTAAAAAAAACATATACACATGTATATATGTATGTATATTAATAACTCATTTTATTGGCTTCTTACACAGTTCTGGCTTTGACAATATGAAGGTATCTGATCCTCACTCTGGAGTCTACCCTACACCAAAACGCATCAACGGTAGAGATCAACGGTTTGATACTATCAAAGATATTATACAGAAGGAGTCCAAGATATCTGCGGTCCAAGCCGAACTTCGACTGGAAAATTTCGTTCCAGTTGTACACGAACTCTTGAGGACCTACATTCAAAAAATTCGAAACACTCGAGCAAGAATTCCTCTCCGCTGGAGTGATGTGAGCGACGACGACAAGGAAAGGATATACCATTTAATTGAAGAGGGCGCAAATGAACACAATATTACGTTGAATCTTTGTGAAAAGTCTTGGGGAGCTAGGTGTTTAGCGCAACCTCAATGGGTCAAGGCTCGTAATGCTGTATTTTCTATGGGATCTGGCAACTCGAAGACTTCAAAATAAAAAGAAAATCATATTCTACTGGTGTTTATATTGCAATAACAACAGCAACAACAACAAAACTTTAAATATATAAAGTTTGTTAACAATTCAAGAGGTTGAGACTTCTTTTACTTTATTATTATTAATAAAAATGGAAATTTTATAATCATTAAACTATAACAATGGTTTGAGATTAATAGTGATAGGATAAAAATATATCCTTAGCCGTCTTTATTATGGTGAAAGCCATAATCAAAATCAAATCATTAGCATGAGAAAACATAAATCATTTGTTAGGCTAGTGTTCTTTCTTTTTCCCAAAGTCGCTCTTTATCCTTTATAGCATGACTTACTTCGTTAGTGTATATTATTGCGTACCTTTCACTAATAGCTATGATATGGGTATCCAAAGAACTCATTTTAGATTTAATTTATATTTCTTTAATTTTTTTAATATTAAAGGAATGCTTGTATTATATGAAAAAAATATGTAATTGTTTAATATCTAACCTTAAATTTCAAATACATTTGCTTTTGTGTATAAAAAGAAAAGTCTAATGAAATTTAAGGAGTAGAATATGCATAAGCACATAATAGTTTTTTTTTTACTATTCATCGCTCCAAGGACCTCATACAATCTACGTTAAAAAGAGAGAAAAAAAGAATGGCTGTAAAGAATTAGAAAGAGAACACAAGCTAGTACATGTACGAACATATAATATAGAACCTTGTGTACGTGTGAGATTTTAGTGTGAGATTTACAGCCAATTCTCAACAACAAAAAATTATCGTAAGGATAAATCTATGTCTTTCAGATCATAAAAGTTGCCTTTCAGAAAGTCCCTGTGTATTTCCATTTTCGTCATCTCACCCTTTAAAACATACAGTCTCCTTTTCAATAATTTGGTTTACCGATTTTCTTTCCTATCCTTGTAGTTTTCAATGTCGTTATTGATAAAAATACGTTGAGCTTTGAGTACCATTAAATATATTTTCAGATTTAGCTGACACAATTGCTTTTTTTATATAATGTTAGACACACCTGGGACATTATATTAAGATATATGCATATTTATGCTAACTAGTTTTAAAGGGATTTATAATGTTTTTCGAAATATATTTCTGGGCTTTTCTAATTCCACCAAGGCAGAAAAAAATTGCTATAATCTAATGTCTTTTTTTTCTTAAAGATAAACCCCAATACCACTCAGCCTGAACTAAGGTTCTTTCAATCTACTGAGCAAATTATTTAAGTAAACATTCTTTTCAAACTTACACTGTATAAATGTTAAAATATTGGGTATTCCTTGTGACTGTCAGGGTTTGGTACACTTTTAATGACATTGGTCATTGAATTATTCGACATTGTTTTTAAAGTTAGTATTCGAATATCTAGTAATTCGAATCCCTGTTGTGTAAGAGCATCCACAGCGGTTTATCTAAACCTGGAGTCTCGTCTTTTTATTGCTTAAATGTTTTAGTGAAGCGTCGAATTTAGATATCCGTTAAATAATTGTCTAAAATAAATTGGTTCAAACATTTATTTAGACAAACCACTGTGGATAAAAGAAAAATCAAACTTTCCAATTAGATTTACATATTTGGCGAGTTTACACAAACCGCTGTGAATCCTCTAAGTGTGTAGTGTACATGTGTATGTGTCTGGTAAGTAACAGTTCCGGATACTGTTAACTCGCCAGGTTCATTAGCCAGAAGGGAACCAGAATTTGGTTGTAGAGCCCGTACTTCACTCAATTGGAGCTTATATATCATAATCTTTCAATATTTGTAGTAAAGCATATAATTTCGTCAATAAACAAAACAAAAAAAAATACTCTTATACATTACTTGGATTTGAGTTCTTATTACTGTATTGACAAAATATTTATAAAATTTATGGATGAGTATATTTGCAAGTAACCTTTAATACCCACTCATAATTGATAACATTGACAAAAATCGAAAAATTCCCGTTTAACTGCTGATTGATCGAATTAGATAATGACATCTAACAACTCTCTTTTTCCAGTATTTTAAGAATGCTAAGCTTTTTACGGTAAAGCATACTCAATACACAAAATTTTATCTTCAAAAATCTCATCTATAGTGTTGAAGCAATACATGAACTAGAAAAGTACACCGTTATCAGGCACTTACAAAAAATGAAAAGAAATTATTAAAAAAGCGTGTTACTTTTTTCTTGGAACATGGTTATGACAAAAGGTGTATTTGGTATAAAATATTAGTCCATAATTTCCTAGCCTTTGTCTCTATTTTTTTTATTTTTTTTAAAAAAAAGGGCATTGATTTATTATTTTGCTTTACCGAATTATTGTAACCATTTTTATGTCATTATTTCGGTTTAGTCTTTTATTATTGTCTAGCTCGGTATAACCATCTCGTTTAATCAAAGTATCACGGCCTTTGACAGATCCCATTGATCCGTAATTGATTAAGCCTTTTGATTGGCGTATTGAATAAGCAATAGTGTGTACCACAATTTATAGCTGAATATGTTAGACTTAAAAGAACATTTGAATTGTAGCGATCACAAAAGTGTGCAGTCAAATATTCTAAAGAAAATTGACGCCCTGATTTATACATATATTATGTTGTGTCCAGTAGTTGGTTATAATACAATCAGTAATGATGTGCAGTATACATGTTGAATATATTTTGATCTGAATTTGTTGATTAAAGCTTTGTATAAAGCCCTCATGCCGTCATATTTGCGCATTCACGGATTCCTTGGTAGTTTAAACCACTGTCTTGGGAAAAAAACCATACTGTCACTAAAATGGAAAATCTACTTTTTTGAATTGACCATAAGTCAAGCAGTCTAGGTTAGGCAATCATCATTTTACGTTCAAGCCTAATATTCATCTTTTTGAGTCAACTCGTTAAATAAATCACTCGCTTCTGACGTTCTCAACAGTAAGATACTGAAAATGATAAATAAAAAAAAGAAGGTTTATCAACAAGCTCTTGTTGTAGACTAGCTGGAAGACTTGGTCTCAAAGACCTCCAAAACGTATGAATTATCATTTATTTGTGGTCACCTATAAACTAATATATTGAACCAGAAAACACGAGAACTGAAGAATAACAAGAAACACGTTGTGAAAGGACTTTTCACAATATCATTGAACATATTTCTATAGACTTTTATTTTACAAATTTGAAGTACTACTTATTTGACTCACGTGTCAAGAATAAAAGTTCCGGTCCGTATTCCTTACGTTTGGTGATACAAAAATGTGTATGTGCGTGCGTCTTTTTAATATGAATGCTAGATGTTTCTTGGCTAGATTCAAGTTATCACAGACAAAAATATCAAGTAAAGGGGGGGGGGGGGGAGTATGACTAACAGTTACAGCTAAATTACCTGCAAAAAAAAGGAATTTTTTTATATACACATATGCATTACAAAAGAGTATCAAATAATACCTGGTAGAGATTTTGGTTTTATCAACTCTTTTGCCAAAAGAACGAACATGGCATCACAAGACTGTGATCATTACAGCGGACTTTTATTTAAGTTAGACATTAACAAAGCCGTGGTTGTCCAGACCCTTAATATTTACAAGACATGTAACTATTGGTAGCAAAAGACTTGTTAATACTATAAATCATAAAATATTTGGAAAAAAAATAGTAAAATTAGTAAGCAATATCAAATACAAATATAATCCAAGTTTGTTATTTCTGATAGCATTTATACAAAAAGGTCTTTTTCTTCAAAGATTCTATATGTTTGATTTCGATTTTTTTTTTCTGACATCTGAAATTAAAAAAATAAATAAAAAGGGACACTCAAAAATGAAAAATAAAATAAAAATGGAACTTTGTATACATCGAATTCGGTATCCCAACATATTAAACAACAGTCAAAATTGTAGCCAATAGAAACATATTATATCTTAAGAATTGCCATAGACGAGCAGAAAAAATATATGGGGTTTAAAGGTGATAGATCAAAAATAGAAATGCGACAAGTAGTTTTTGGAAAGCGACAGGTGGGAAGTTTAAAGGACGACGACTAAAATTTATCCTTACGACGACTTGAGATGGAAGCACTGTACATTCATTCATAAGTAAAAAGGAAAGGTTACTATTGGTGGTTGCCATCTGCTTCTGTCACACGGCTTCCATTGGACCGGGTTCGCCAATAGTCCTTATTAACAGGTGCTGATTGTTGTGGTACATTGTACGGATACACAGTCGAATGTGGCTGTGCATTACCACCAAAAGGCAATGAATAGGACATGGAGTCCACATAGGAAGTCTGTTCATTCTCTAGTGATGGCCCAACAGATAATCCAGGCATTTCTGTGTAGGTCTAGAATACGTACAACAGCAATATACACATATACATATACATATAAATAAAATATCAGAATAACTCTTCTTTTTGATTCAGAAAAAAAAACCGATTGCTTTGGTTCACTGATTGTTTATAATCAACTGAAAGATTAAGGACAACTTCTTCCTTTTTATTGATTGTTTCATTCTTATACTTATGCTTATGCTTATGCTTATGCTTATGCTTATGCTTATGCTTATGCTTATGCTTATTTTCATTTTTCACTTTCTCCGTTTTCATTGTTGACTGTTGTTTACCTTTCGTGGATAGTTGCCATACGAAGCCTCTATAGGTGACTATATAATACAACCAATCAAACATAAACAAAAATTATTGTAAGAAAACAGGATTGAAGATATATAGTACATGTATTTGAATGAAAAAAATTATGAGAGAAATGGTTTAACATACCGGACCAAGTGACATGGAAGAGCTGACTTGTACACTGTTGACTGGTGCTGGCGTGGGAGGAGCGGATACATTAACAGGTATGTCAGGCATAGATAGATCGGAGGCTGCTTCTGGTGCGTTGAGACATGATTGGATAAGGTTCTTTCCTTCTGGTTTCATAACAATCGGTTGGAGTTTTGGAGTAGTGAATGTATAGACCAGCCCTGTCTCAGACACTACAAGCAAAAGTACCTGTGTACCAGTGAGAGTGGATAGCTCATATGCCTATACAAAATAAATGAACAAGAATATTAAACGCGAATTAATAAATATATGTATATATATTGGTGAATCATTATTAAGCACATATACACATACATAAACACAAACACAAACACGCTTGTGAACTTGCCTTTTTCATGATACCGGCCTTTCGCTTGGAGAAGGTGATGTGTCGTCTGGACTTATCTTCGATGTATTCAATTTTGATTTTTCGGCGACCACTACGCTTATCTGGTTTCTGGTCGTCTGAGTCATCTTCTTCATCGCCTAGAGTTGCTGGAGTATTGTGAAGGGCATGGTGAGGGTCTGCGGGTTGGTTGTACATGAAGGTTGGTTGCGGGAAATAGCTTGCGGACTGCATGGGGGTAGTTGCTTATTTAAGGACAAAGAGATCGACTTGGTCGGTGCGCCAAGAAGATAAAATGGAGGTCGGGATTGGAAAGAGGGCTCAAAGGGGAGTGGGGGGGACTATTTTATAGGTGATGAAGGGATCTTTAGGATAGGAGAGAAAGAAGGAGGACCAAAGAATGGGATTCGGCGAGTTCTTTAATCGTTGAATCTCTCGAGTGATTCCCATTCGTTGCATGAGTGTTGCGGCTATGGAATCTTGTGTTACTGAAAGTGAGGTGGGCTCATGGCAGTCAAAGGTTGGCAGTCGTATACTTATTATGGTAGTGAGTATACACATCGACAATGGGCTGTTTACCCTTGAAATATGCAGGTCCAAGAGAGTCGAGGCGAAGATGAGCACAGTAGCGATCGAGCATTGCCATCACCATTTGTTGGTCTAGAGGTTTGGCAAGACAGTCGTTCATACCACTATTAAGATATTCTTGAATGTCGTGTTTCGATTGATTGGCGGTGACAGAGATGATAGGTGTCCAAGAGTCATACTGCCGGATATTACGCGTTGCCGAGATCCCGTCCAAGTTGGGCATCATAATGTCCTATGGGAACGACAAGCGGTCAGAACACAATCATCAGGTTTTTCTCTCCTCACCATCAGAACCATGTCATAACTATCGGTCCTAAGTTTTGACATGGCTTCCAATCCGTCGACTGCGACCTCAATCGTGCAACCTGCAAACTGTAATATACGGGTCGAGATTGATCGGAAGATCGAGTCGTCGTCGACCACTAGAATTCTCGGTTGAATGGACCATCCCTTGGCGGTCAGGAGCGGAGGATCAAACAACGGAAGGTCATAAGTTATATTTGGTGTACTCTGAGTAGAAGACGTTGAAGTAGAAGAGGTAGAAACGGATGCTGAGCAGTACAATGTAGTGGGTGTGTCTAAAAGAGGATTTTGGAGGCACTCCAGATGTCGCCAGAGCTCTGCCATCTGCCTCTCACTTGTCTGTACCACGGCTGTGTGAGACTCCGCGATACTCTCAAGGGCCTGTATCCGATAGCTCTCACCGGCCCGCGTCTCACGCCCACACAAGGTCTTTCTCTGAAGAACAGCGCGACGCATCATTGTTTGGACAGTGCTATCCTGCAGATTCATAGATGCCTTTACAGCTCCTATGGTTTCCATTAAAGTACTGTATCTGTGTTTGGTAGCTTGGAGCTGGCTTGCCATGGTCGACTGTTGTTGCTGCAACAATCTAACTTTGTCTTGCATCACTTTTACTAGCTGCTGCATCATTTTTCTCTCATCAATTGCAACATCTCTATCCTTAACCTTGGTTCTCATATCTGCGCCATTAAGTAAGATAATCGGATGTAGTGGTGTATTGCTGATGGACTTCCCACTTGGTTTTCGCTGTTTAATAATATTTTTATAGATATTTAAATAACTATAGACAGAATATATATAATAACTGTCTTTATTACTATTACCTTTATAGCTTCTAAGAGATGTTTTTGGTTGAATTTGAAGTTAGAATGACGGAATTCCCAAGACTGTATTAAGGCAAAACCCGAACTTAGAGAACAATTGAAAAATAACCATAATATCCTTTTGGCTTTATTCAATTTCTTTTGCTTTGCTTTCTTTATTATTAGTATTATTTTACCTGGTTTCCGTTTGAACGATTACCATCTTCTGCATTGCGTATTTTATGAAAGTCATACTTGTTCAGTTGACGAACGAAGCTCGAAAAATTTGAATGTTTAAAGTGTTTGGGAAGAACTCGTTGTGCAAATTTACTCGGTTCCTTTACAACAAATGTCTCGCCACTTGGTCCCCAGGAAAGAATGTGCGGATATGAATTGTCTTGGAGCATGCTGAGTTTCACAAGTCCCACAAAACGACGAAAAGGTACCAATTTCGTCGCCAAGCAAGAACCAACGAATATATATATACACACATATGTTTCCACACACACACACACACACACATATATATATATATATATATATATATATATAATAAACCAAATAGATAAAATAAAATAAGCAGCAATAATAACAAAGCCGAAAAAGTATACCACATAAAATAAAATAACAAAATAAGAAAGTAAACAAGCAAATCGATAGAACAAGTATATTAAGTAGAGACAGAATTAGAGTGACTGTTCCATATCCAATCTCTCGCTCTCTCCATTACTCTTCCTCTTCCTCTCTCTCTCTCTTCTTTACTTTCTTTCTTTTATTATTAAACTATGCCTACCAGAACAACTTCTTCACAAACTCTGGGGTATTACTTCCACCAGAAAGTGCCTGGGGAGTTCCTGATATACCAGCAGAAGAATCCAAAGACTGTCTAGTTGCTGATGAGCTGTCTTGCATTGCAGAGTACTAATGTCAACTAGATTAACTATAAATACAATTTAAATATGTATCTCTTTATCAATAAATGTATATATCAATCTAAATATGACAGCTAGTTAATGTCAGTCTATAAAAAGAAGAAAATAAAGATAAATAAATAAGCTTTTTGAAAAGAAGTTTCTGTAAGCAAGAAAGGGGGGGAAAGAAGAGGGAGAGAAGGTTAAGAATAAATAAATAAATAAATAAACAAATAATGCCATAAACTAATCAGTCTATGAAAGGCTTTTGTACGTCACCATTTTTTTTTCTAAAAAAAAAAAGACTTTTACTTGTTTATTTTATATTTCTATTTATTTATTTTTTCAAGACATGTTCACTCCTCCTCCTCCTCCTCCTCATGTCGAGCTCAGCTCCCCCCCGTCGTTGGAGTGACATTTCAGATGACAGCAGCTCATCAGATTCAGACAGTAGTGTAGAACAAACTAAAAAAGACAATCCTGTCAGTGTGAACAAGGATATCACAGAAAAATCAACCAATCTTGATTCAATCAGAGGGGGTAATATATATATATATATAACTTAAAAGTAATGACGTTCACGATATTCAATTAATAATCATAATTACAATTATACAGCATTCTCATGTCAAATTTGTATGGAATTATTCCACAATCCACATATACTTGATTGTGGTAAGATTACTATTAAATAAATAATTGCTTTTAGTTTTATTTTACATACAATTAACAAGCTAATAACTTACACCCAAACTTTATTTTAATTCTTTTATTTTCTGTTTATTAATCGATCGGTTTCGGTCAGGCCATTCATACTGCGCGATATGCCTTATTCAATGGCTCACTACTAGAAAACAGTGTCCAGAATGTCGGAATGATGTCGTACGAAGACCTATTCCCTCTTACGCTGTGCAACAGCAAGGTAATATATATATATATGTGTGTGTGTGTTTTTCGTTTGAGTATTTTATTAACTAAACTACAAACACTGTTCTGATATAACATTGTATATTATACATAGTGGATGCTATTAGACCATTCTTATCCAGCTCTACTCAGTCATCTACATCTGGCAACGCAACTACCTCGTTTGGCAACACTTCTATGTGGTCTGTTCTTTTTCCAATTAATAACAAACATACATTTATCATTGATGTTGAAGATAACAACGTGTATGTACTTATTAACTAGTACCGCTTTACTTCAATGTATATACATATATAACTTATTTATATACTTATACTTAATTATAGACGACGATGCGGTCAGTGTGTATATGAACTAGATCGAGATGGCAGATGTCAAAACTGCGATATTGTTTATCACGGCGCTCGTGTCGAGCATGATAGCGACGAAAGCGAAGGAGATGAGGTTGGGTTTCACGGTGAAGATTATGTGTCCGATTCGGAAGAAGAAGGGTCGATGGTTGACTTTGTCGTTGATGATGCTGAGATTATATATGACACAGAAAGGTAATATCCAAAAATAATGTATTTAGTCCAACAAAGATAAAATTGCTAATGTTGTTTTTTCTTTATTGCGGTTCTTATTACAGCGAGATTGGCAGTGATAATAGTAGATCATCATCAGTTGAACTTGTTTCTCGCAGACCTTCCCACGAAATAAGTGCATCGAACAATAATTCAGATAATCTCGAAAACAATGCTCGCGATCGAAGAAACAGAACAATTGTACTAGATACTGATGAAAGTGACCAAGACGAAAATAACAGTATTACCTCAAGTGTTCTGGAATTAATCGAAGGACAGATGGGTAGCTCAGGAAACACTTCTGACTCAAGTCATGAAATAAGCGATGATGGTATTCAACTTAATCACTCCAAGAGCAGAAAAAGAACATGCATTATCCTTGACTCTGAAGATGAAGATATAACCCCAGTCGAGTCTGTATCTACAAGCAAAAATCCATTGAAAAAACGTCGTAAAAGTAAAGATGAAGAAAAAGATAAGAATACATATATAGACGAAGACGAAGACGAAGACGAAGACGAAGACGAAGACGAAGACGAAGACGAAGACGAAGACGAAGATGAAGATGAAGATGAAGATGACGATGACGATGAAGATAAAGATAAAGATGAAAATGAGGATGAGAGCGAGGATGAAGAAGATGAATATGAAGACAAAGACGAAGACGAAGATGAGGATGAGGATGAGGATGAAGCTGAATATAGAGATGACGACAAAAGCAAAACCGTAGACAAAAATGAAAACAAAAATAAAAGGAAAGACGAAGATAAAGACGAAGATGAAGGAGAAAACAAAGACAAAGAAAACGTCGAAGCCAAAGCCAAAGACAAGGGAAAAGTAAAACCAAAAGACAAGGGTCAAGACAAGGGCAAAGGAAAGGAAAAAGCTAAAGAAAAGGCAAAAGACAAATTAAAGGACAAAGTTAAGGACAAAGTCAAGGACAAACCCAATGACAAAGCCAAAAGTAAAGGGAAAGTAAAAGACAAAGCTAAAGAAAAAGAAAGAGAAAAGGGAAATTCCCGAGAAAAAGGCAAAGGAAAAAGCAAAGGCAAAGACAGAAAGAACAAAAACACAAAAAAGTAATAATTGTTATTAAAAGTATATTTGTAAAAACACAAAAAATAAAAGAAACCTCTTGTAAAACGCAAACCAAAAGCCAAATAATAAAGAAATTGGTATTTTAAAATTTTGTAAGTACCAATAGCCGTTTTGTATACCACTTTAAGATGTTGCCCATTTTTTTTATTAATATTATAGTTATTGGAAAATCAATAGCTCGGTTTGTTTTTTTTTGTATTTCATTTTATGTTATTTAAATAAAACAAGATATCTAGAGCCTCGGATTACCAGGGCAAAATAGTACCAGCGTAATCAAAGAAGGTACCATTGTCCTTGGTAGTCATCTTGTAAACACAATTCAACATACCCTCAACAGACTGAGTGGTAGTCAATTCACCATTCTTTCCACCCATATCAGTAATGACCCATCCAGGGTGAACAGCAACAATAGTAAAGTCTTCATCCTTGAGTGCACACGAGAATCCCTTGGTAAGCATACCCTCGGCAGCCTTGGAAACAGCATATGACATTCCAAAACCCCATGCGTTGCCATTTTCGGTTCTCTCAATTGATCCAAGAACAGAGCAAAGGTTGACGATCTTACGGGTCTTTCCAAGACGCAAAAGAGGGAGCATAGCCTGAGTAACTGAAGATGTTCCAATTACGTTGATTTCAAAAGCCTTTCTGTAATCTTCGGGTGTACTATTTGTATTCGAAATTAAGTAAAGAAAGAAAAATTAGTCTATGATCAACAAAGTTTAAATATTATTTACCAGTTGAGAACATCAAGTGACATATCACCAGTGGCGCCAGCATTGTTGATGAGGACATCGATACCATTAGGAGCAACCTTTGAGACAAACTCAACAGCTTTCTAAAAAAAAAAGAAGTAAAAAGGTAAATAACCGCAGTAATAATAATCATGTCTGATTTGAGCAGCTTTAAGAAGAGGAAGAGGAAGAGGAAGAGGAAGGGGAAAATTACTATGTAAATAAATAACTTACCTTGATAGATTCGGAATCGCCGGTATCAAGGGTTGTCAAGATTACATTATCTTGAGCAAGAGCTTTGAGGCCAGAGGATGCTTCGATATTACGGGCAGTGGCAATAACAGTGTTACCAGCGGAAGCGAGTTGTTTGACAAACTCAAGTCCGATTCCACGAGAAGCACCAGTAACAAGATAGGTCAATGTCATATTTTCTTTTAGTTTTGTATAAGAGCAAATAGCAAAACAAAATGCTTTAAATAAGATTAATGCTTTGAGGTATGTTAATGACTGTGTGTGACTGTTTTAACTTTTGGTAAAGGTTGACCCGGCTTTACTGTCTTTTCACTTGAACTTTAAACGATTGATATTCCTATTGGGAATCCGACTTTAGACAAGCAGGGAATATAAGAGACAAGCCAATGTTGGCTTATATAATATGCTGACAGCCCCGCATTCTGCCCTAACAACATCATAGGCTTAAACGCATTAAATTCGATCTGGCAAATAACTCTGACCGTGAATAGCACAGTAAGGCTGACACCTTTATCACCTTCCCCTTCCTCTTTGACTCCACTTGTTAGTCACCTCCTTCTTCCCCCGAGACCCGGATATAAATCCCGCTCCACTCTTCCTTCTTCTAGTGTTTATTACAAAGCAATTCTCCACTTTTCGGGATTTTTTCGTTTTCCACTCTCTCTCTCTCCCTTTCTTCTGCTCCTGCTCTTGCTCTTGCTCCTCCACTAGGGGGTTCTGACGGAACTGTGTTGTAGTACTACAGAATATTCATGTTAGAATTAGCCATTAGCGACCTGCATTTAGACTTGTATGCAAAAATACGCTACCAAAAAAGCCAAACACCCAAATTAGTTTTCATTTTATTTAATGATTTTTAGCCATACCAATACATTAGCTATGGAATGAGATGTTATGGTTTTCTTAGCCTTCCAAGTCCTCCTTTTGGTATATTGTAGTTTACTTCTTTAATACTTTCAATAAGCCTTTCCTGATTGTCTAAAGGATTTCTTCTGGTAATTTTTTTCCTCGATCTTGAGAAGCATTCTTCTGCAAAGTTCAATAATGGGGAATAGGACGGGAATTAGATGGAAATAAGGTGGGATGAATTTGAGTTTGTACCTGTCTTTTTGCTCCAGCCATTTTCGCAAACTAGGGTTATAATGTATTTTTGGATTATCCATCACAAGATAGTATGGCTTGGTATCGTTTCTACCAAGATCATTAACTGATGGCTTATCAAGCTCTTTGAATATTTGGTTTAACAATGACCATTAAAAAAAGGGTTTCTAAATCACCCATCAAAGGTTAAATTTTGGCAACGGACTTCCAGGTACGGTTTAGTGCTTCACTACAATGAGCGCTAAAAATAATAATAACGTCATATTGATTTGTGAAGTCTCGATTTAATAAAAAAAAAATGTGCCTAATCATAAAATGCCTCTTTATCTGCTTAATTGAGAATATGGATAACCTTAATTTATTCGATAAAATCGCCAACGGCTCTAACAAGTCTGGAGGTACGGATACCAATGGCATTCAAGAAGGTATGTAAAGAAGAGATGTAATCCATTTTCACAATCCCCTATCTCAGTCCCCTTATTCTGATTATGATGATGGTATGAATCCAGATTTATATGAAAACCTATCTGAATCATCCACCACTACTATTGCTGGTGCTCAACCCGTAGGAAGAGTCGGGGAGAGAAGCTGGACATTTCTGGATGAGAAAAGACTTATCGCCCAGTTTGAGAAAGCTCTACAATTAACAAGAATGCGAAGCGTTCAATACAGCAGGAGAAAAATGCAAATAGAAGCCAATGCTTGGCGTACTCTCGTCAGACAGTTCAATGCTCACGCTATCCAGCCCAGAAATAAAAATGCCCTCGAAGAAAAGTGGAAGAAGCTGAAGGCCGAGTTCAAAGAGCAGTATGATGTATTTCACGCAGCAGGAAAAAACGGGGTAACACCCAATGCGAACTTTAAGCATTACAAAGATATGTGGAGTATTTTTTTTGGATGATCCACAGGTAATGTCTGTCACCGGATTCTCTTCTGGTAGCCAGACGACAACACTTAATGAGAGCACCCAAGAGCCAAAAAATGAACCTTCAAATGAGGAAACTACTTCCAAAGAAGAACCAAATAATATCCCATTGGAGGAAATACAGACGTTTATGGAAGACATCTTCGACTCAACCGGTAGATCTGAAACACCCCAATATGATGATATGGATTCGAATGATGATCAAGGGATGCCCCATAGTCTAAACAGATCTTGGATTGAGCATAAAGATGATGAATTCATGGATCGCATTGAGTATATGAACTATAAAAACATGCAACAGAGAGAGAGACACTTCAGTGTTTTTCGGAAGCAAGGTGAAGCTCTGCTTAAAAGTGTTGATCTTGCAGGAAGGGAAGCTGCCATTGCAACCACTAATATCAAGGAGATCACACGTTGCATGCAAAATAGTAATGCTAGATTGGATAGCTTGTTCGATATAATTAAAAGACGTTTTGAACCCAGTGATAATAAGAATGAATAGTATTTAGTAAGAAATATATATGTATTAGTCGTTTATTGCGGCTTGCTTTTTTGGACAGTAAAACACACTATACAAGGCGCACAATTCGAGGATTATGTTATTTATTTATTTTGGACGAATTACAATAGTAGTTTAAAAGGTTGGGTTACCTATTTTAGATACAATAAAAAATAAAAATTGAAATCAGAGAAATGGAATGAATCTATTAAATGATCGCTAAATTTACCTGTAAGGGTGTGTTAAAGAGTTATATCAATAACACACACTCATTGTAATTGTTCTGACGACGGAGGACGCTGGAACGGGGACAGGCAAGCGCCATTTTTCTTTGCAGTCATCACATCCTAATTCCAAATAACCTTGAAAATGCTTTCCTTGCGCTGAAATACTACTGTCCCATAGTCCAAGGCCCAGACTTGACATCCATCTTCGATTTGATTCCGAAAATCCGAAGGCTTTTTTTTGGGTGGCATTTGAATTGCTTTTCTTTGTGGCTCGAGGATAGAAATGATATTGAATAGCCATCAGAATATACAACGTTTCTAATATTAATCGTTTAATGTTGAAATACTATTAAAGTCATTGTTAATGGCTTACTTGAATACTTTTCTGTCATTAGAAAGACTCTCTCTGGTTCGAAAACCAATTATAGAGAAACCGAAAAGCTTGTAATAAAAATTAGACATTTCCTCGTTCTTGGAGCCTTTAGGATAGTCTTCAATTCCAGATTCTTTCGCTAGTCTCCAAAATGCTTGAACGTCAATTTGAACCGATTTTCTTTGAAACGAATAAATAGGTAGAAGATAAAATAAAGCGATATCCACGTTTATTGGTATACTTGAAACGGCAAAAAGTACTATCTTTTATCCTTGATCTAATGGTACTGACAAAGTTTAAAGTTGTCTTCTTATGCGGTTGAATCTTTTGCAGATTCCTTTCAAATATTAGGGTTTGATCACTGTTAATAGATATAAGGACTTGTTCTCGTAAAGAATTGAATTGCTTTCTGTTCAACAACGTGGTAAAAGGAAATTCTTTGATTGCCTTGAGAGCATCTGTCTTTCCAATAGATGACGGTCATGATAATTTTTTCTTTAGTTTTTGGCTGTAAATATACTAGGCAGGCGACTTTCTTCTTGGTTTACCGTTAACCCACTGCAATAAAATTCAAAGGGCTTGCAGGCGAGGATTTCCAAAAAAAAAACGTATACTTATTTTCGTCGCCAATGTATAAGTTTGATACTTACTCTTTAAAACCTTCTTTTCTTTTTGCTGAATTCTCAGATGAGTCATCTCGATGTTTGGGTTTCATGTTTTTGTCACAAGCTTTGAAAAGAAAGGTTGAAGGACAAAATTTCGTATTCTGATTAATTATAATGATGCTCTACCTTTAATTAAAATTCTGAGCTACTGATATATTGCTTTCTGGGTGGAAATGAGAGATTTTTAAAGCACTCAATTCAATAATGCAAGGCGTATTTTTAAAGAGTTGCTAGCCGTTATGAATGGATCTTCTTTTCAAACAAACAGTACAGAAAAGTATTCTTAGGTTATTAACCTATTAAACATTTTTGCATTATTATATATATATATAATGTATGCTCAACTTGCTTAAATATATGGGAAAGAAAGCTATTGAAAAGACTTATCCCAAAAATGCGCCTTATTATCTCGAATTGTGCGTCTTACAAATGTGTTTTACTATGTTGCTTATTTTTCATCTTTTTCTAAGGTGCAATATTATTATCCAATAATAATATTCAAAACAAGCTCACCTTTTTTTTCGAATACCAACGAACATTCACGAATGATGGCCCTTATTATTATGTGTCCAGCATGTAAATTTGTTTTTTTGTCTAATTTCCAAAAAAAAAAAACCGAGATTTTATTTTCAATCAATTGTACACTCCATGACTACCTTTAAAATTAGATATTACCCTCACAGTAAGTTGCCTGCCTAATAGGTACAATACTCTTACTTATAAATTAATTACCTGCTTGGAAAGACTGCCAAATATATAAACATATATATAAAACAAACGAAAAAAAACATAAAACTATTTGTAACCAATATAGCTACAAGAAACCTGATATACCACTTTCCTTGTGGAATTATAGCAATAATTACTGTTCTTCCCAAAAAATTGCCCATATTGAACAACTTAAATATTATTATTATTTCTTGCTTTTTTTTCATAAGAGAAGCCCCCAAAAAATGTATTAAAGATTTATTGGAACAAAATAGAAAACAAACAAACAAAAAAAGTTTAAATTATTTCAAATTGCCTTTGCTGTAGTAAAATTCAAGTTATTAAAAGAGGAATTAAGAGGAATAATTAAATACTGGAATCCACACGTTATTTACTACAAATTATTCCTGCATAAGTCTAAAAATGTGTATTTTATATGCCAAAGACTAATTGAAATATATGTTTTGGGAGGCCAATTCTTTGATTGATCCCTTATAACAAAAGAATACCCAACATAAAAAGAGAGAAAGGGACTTGCTCTACAAAAACATACTACGTCACCATTATAATCTAGTATAAATTTGAGTCTCCTGCGCTGTTCTGGTTGTGCACGCCTTTTATTGCTTACTTTGACTCTAAGCAAACACGAAAAGAGGTTTCTTTACTACGTTTCCTTTATTCAATTAGGCCTTTTCTACTTCTTACTTTTTTTATTTACTCCTCAACTGTACCTGCCTACCTACTTTTTATTCTTTGGAGCGTCTCTATTTCTCACTGTTGTGCATCAATGTCACTGGATTATAGTAATCGTACTGCCGACCATCAACCGGAAGATGTAGAAGAAGGCGAGATCAGTAAAGACAATGTGCCCTATAGTAATTCTCTGAATTCGATTACAGCCATCTCTCAGGCAGCTGTACAGAATCACTATCATTCCCTTCCCACAAATGGCAATGCACACTCCGTAAACAACCAGATCAATCCAAGTGGCGCTGTAGGAACATTTAAACGGCAAACACATCAAAACGCTTTGAGTGATGCTAAGAGAAGCAGTTGTCCTGACAATGCTCGTCTACCCTTAGATGATCTATCGTCAAAGAGAAATGGCGATTCCCCATCCCGCAAAAGGGTACGCATGGAAAACAACACGTCAGACGATCCATTTGAGGAATATGAACGTCTTTCTCGCAGACAACGGCAGGGAGGATCGAGTCGGTCCCGAAGCCGCGATTCATCTGCACTTTATGACGATCGGGATGGTAGCCCAGCTGACGCAAGTCGACGACTCTTGGCTCGCCAGGAACCATCGCGGAACCGTTCCCCGTCATGGCACCGTACAGACGACCGCCGTAGTTTATCTCCTAGAGAATCAAGACCGAGAAGAAGAAGTTCAAAAGACGAATTAGATGACAGAAGACCTCATCGACGCAGAGAAAGTGTTACCCAAGATACATATGAAACGAAAAGATCTTCTGATAGACGCCGTAGTCCACCTCCTCAACGTTGGTACGAAAGAAGGGAGGAGGGGTCTCGGGGTAGAGAAGACCCTGCACATTTGAGTGCTAGGCCAGTAGATAAGTCTATTAAACCATCTAGACCATCGAAATATGATGAACCACAGAGACGACAAGATGAACCAAGGAGACACGATGAACCTAGAAAACAGCAAGGACGGTCTACTGCCACGATAGAATCTGCCTCAGAAAGGTGAGTTGCTATCAAGATTCTGTTTGTACTGATTAACTGATTTTTTTTATTAAAGACAAAAGAAGGAAGTGCCAAAGTCAACGCCCAAAACAGAAGATAATCCAATCGAGTTTGAGATCAAAGATGAAGATGAAAAGCAAAAAGAAGAAGATAGACTGATCGAAGAACGCCGGAAACGTCGACAGGCTATTTTAAACCGCCACAAATCCCAACCTGTAGTCGTAGCTGCGCCTCCTATTTCAACAATCCCTCCCCCATCACAAAGCAGTAAGTGTTATTATTATTTATCCAATTAACTACGGCATTACCACTTAATAATAATATGTTGTATCAAGGTGTTGATCAGGATACATTATCTCCTCTTACTTTGGTAAAGAATGAGACGGTTGCAACGGTAGGAATCACTGCCACGTCGACACTTCAGCATGAAGATAATGGGTCGAGCAACGAGAAGGTGGAAGTTAAAGCAGGTGATGACTCACCCACTACTGTCTCTGCAGTAGATTATGATCCTTCAGGGGATCGCATTGCAGATGATCGCCGTCGTAATGGTGAAGTGAACGAGTCCATGGACGATATGCTTAAAAGCAAAGACCACCAGGAGTTTGTAGCAGATGGTGTTGACAGTCATGCAGATATGCTGGCTTCAGACTACTCTGAAAAGCTTAGAAACTCAGAACCACCAAAGAAAGCTCCCACAGAAATTGATATGTTTGCAGATGATTTGGATATGTTTGCTCATGATGAGATTACAACAGCTCCAGATAATACCATAAGCCAAGCAGCAGCAGCAAGTAATCCGAGTCTATTAGATAATTGGGACGATCCTGAAGGGTATTATAGTAAGTAGAAATAAAACAAAAGAAATACTCGGCGTTTTATTTTGATGTGACAAACTGCATATGTTAAATACTCCCCGTGGCTGCGTAGGTGTCAGAATTGGCGAGCGCTTGGACCAACGTTATCAGACCTTGTCGAATCTGGGCCGTGGTGTGTTTAGTTCAGTAGTAAAAGCAAAAGATACCGAAACAAACGAAGAGGTTGCCATCAAGATGATTCGTAATAATGAGACTATGTAAGTTAATAATTCTGGGCATATTAAACAAGTCATCGTATATATTCTTTTAAAGAATGCAATACTTAACTGTTTTATCTTCTTCTTTTTCAAATTTTAGGTACAAATCTGGAATGAGAGAACTCAACTTTTTAAAGAAGCTGATGGAGGCTGATCCAGATAACAAGAAGCATATAATTAGGTTCCAAAGACATTTTGAGCACCGTAATCACCTGTGTTTAGTATTTGAAAGTCTCAGGTAAGATTTTCCTTTTCTCTCTTGTAGAGTTTATTATATAAAGCTATCAAAAGGCTGATATTTGTACCAATACTATGTAGCATGAATCTTCGCGACGTGCTAAAGAAGTATGGAAAAGATGTTGGTATTAGTATCAAGGCTGTTCGAGTGTATGCCCAGCAGTTGTTCTTGAGCTTGTCATTGCTTAGAAAATGCAATATCTTGCACGCAGATATCAAACCTGATAATGTGCTTGTATCTGAATCTAAAAACACCTTAAAACTTTGTGATCTTGGATCAGCTTCAGATGCGAGTGACAATGAAATTACGCCTTACCTTGTCTCTAGATTCTATCGAGCTCCAGAAATCGGTAGGTGAAGCAAGAAAGATAAAAAGGGATGTCTACAAGATAGTCTGTTGATGACTAACGCATACATACATCTTAAATTGTACATGCTTACAGTTCTTGGTCTGACCTACGACTACGCAATTGATGTGTGGTCTGCAGCATGTACTCTGTACGAACTATTTACAGGAAAAATCCTGTTTCCTGGAAGAAGCAATAACCAAATGCTAAAATATATGATGGAACTCAAAGGCAGATTTCCTAACAAGATGTTAAGAAAAGGTCAATTTGCAGCTCACCATTTCGACAGTGACTTTAACTTTATGGCGGTTGAGTGTGATCGTCTCACAAAGAAGGTAAAGGGGGACCCCTCTTTTATTATTATTATTATTATTATTATTATTATTATTATTATTATTTCTTTCTTTGTGTTTTTTGTGTATAATCATGTATACCAATCTATGTTGTCTGGAGTAGGAGGTTATCAAGAAGATGTCCTTTGTCAAACCAACGCGTGACATCAAGAGTCGGGTTATGGCAGCTTCTTCTGCGGGAGTAACAGAGGATGAAGGACGCCTATTATTGGCATTTATTGATTTTTTAGAAAAATGCTTGGCTCTCAGTCCAGATAAGCGAATGACACCCAAGGAGGCTCTCGTCCATCCTTTTATTACCGGCAAGGTTTAAAAAAAGTCAAGACAAGACAAGAAAACTTTGATAAAAATATTCCTTGTGTCTTCTTTGTTTAAAAGGGGAGGCAGAGCAATCTATGTACAGGGCCGTGGGCTGCATGCAGAACTGTAAGAAACAAACAACCAAATTAAATCTGTCCTCATTGAGGGACGTCTTATATTCATTCAGTGGCGCTTTGTTATTTATTGCATGAGTGTTGGAACCTAAATATATGTTTATATACGTATATGTGTGTGCATAGAATATAGAAAGACAAAGGACAAATGGATTAAAACAAAATAGCATCAGTCTATTCTTCTTCAATTGTCGACAACCGAGGCCCAAGAGTATTTAACCAAGTTTGATTGGAGAGCGGACTGTGTCGAGATTGAGCATCGAGTAAAATCTTCAGGTTCTGGAATCGTGGACGTCCTGGAGATAGAAAGATAGTTGGAGAATAATGAAATTGATCGACAAGACGACTTGGTGGATAGATACTGACTGGTTTCGTAATCGGATGATGAGATGGCATGGGATGACTAGTTATTTCGTCTGTTCGTGCCATTTTTGATGTATCTTCTTCTAATAATGTCGGTAAGCGTGCTACCCATGCCTTTATCGACAATACTTGAAAAGGGTCTCGCGATAACCGCTTGTTCGAGAATATTAAGACACTGGACCGAGACTGCGGTCGCTTTGCTCCTGAGTATGAGTATCGTGGATGAAGGTCTTGAGTTGGGCTAAGAAAGCCAATAGGTCGAGGATAAATTTCGGTTGCAAGAAGAGTAGCTACAGCGGTTTGTGATGAAATCCGTTCAAACGTCATTTAATAATAATAATGATAATAAGAGAAATAAGAAGAAGAAAGAAAGGGATAAGATTGGCTGGATAAAAGAAAATGTCCTTTAAGATTCTAGGCATGCTTAAATACAGAGATTAAATTGTGGTGAAATAGAGTTTGGCTTGTGCATAAATGGAATGTCACGAATTTAGAGTGCACAAAAATCTTATCAATAAAACAAAAATGTTTCTGTCAATATGAATTCCACAAAAGCCGGTTTAGATACTTTCTGACCCCCTCAAATATACCCTCTTTTATTTGTTCATTTCATTATCATTATTAAAATTAGCCTTGGTAAATTAATATAATCGTATAAGACATACATGAATTTGAGCCAAGTGGAATATAGTGCTTATCTATATATCTATATATCTATATATCTATTTGATTATTTGCCGTGCAAATATTTGTTCAATTCGCTCTTGGGGAAGGGGCTATATAATAAGACATACCATACCTTGGGAATCATTCCTCTGATAACGGTGATTCTAACATAATGGCCCGAATGATATATTTTCAACTTCTTTTCCATTTTCGTTTATCAACCATTTCACACACACACACACACATATATATATATATATATATATACAACTGAGCAAGTATATGACCTTGTCAGGTGAAGGTAATTTTGTAAATCCCATGAAATTTCATGCACATAGTATTTCAGCTTGAAAATAATGATCAACATAATAGAATATCGATTTTAAATTGACATCTATAAACATTAAATAAGCTAGCGCCTTGGAATTAAATGAGTGTTTAATTTTTCTGCTAGTTCTATATTATGTAAGTATCTACTTTTCTAAACACTCTGTCTATATATTTATTGTTTTTCATTATGATACACAAAGGCTTTCATTGTGGGGACTATAATGGTCAGCACACTAAAGTAATTAGCTACAAAAAAACGCTTTGAAAAAAGTACAAATAGACTAAAATAAATGCAAATAAAGAAAGGAAGATGCGGTGGCAGTGGTGGTAGTGGTAGTGGTAGTGGTAGTGGTAGTGGTAGTGGTGGCGGTGGTCATTGTGGTACCAGATGTGTAGAATACTATAAGGAGAGGAAGTGAGAGGAGAGGAATAATATAAAAAATAGATGAATAAATAATTATATATATCTAAGGCTCTTCTTCCTCTTCCGCTTTGGAAGCCTGCTTAAATGCAGAGCCTTCTTCAATCTCCTTTGCATGACGCAGTTCTTCCAAATTTTTGTGCTTCTCATTGACAGGAGATGACTGACGGGCCGATATAAAGCTTTCTTCTTCATCGTCGTCGTCGTCTCCAATTTCAAAAGGAGACAGAGGCATCTCGGGATCTACCAATTCGGACTGGATAGGTACGCTGGTGCGAGGACTACTGATGGGACTGCTACTGCTGCTACTGCTACTACTGCTGCCACTTCCACTTCCACTTCCACTGGCAACACTTCCACTGGCAAAACTTCCACAATTGATGGGGCTACGCGAGCCAGTAGATCCAGTAGGACTATTGAGACGAGGGCTACTAGGTGTACGAGGACTATTAGATCCACTACCAGATCCCCCTGAGATCACCACCCTTGGTCTAGGGGCAGGTATGACAGGATAGAGTTGATTGTAATTTCCAATAGCAGCCAGAAGACGATCGTTGAGTCCCAAGTATATACCTATCGCAGTATTAGCTCTTTCGATCATATTTCTATCTTGTTAAGGCTTTTCTTCTAATCCACAAGGCAAAAGTCAGCTTCTTACCGACAACAGCAGGATCTGCAATACGAGGAATCTTAAGGCTTACTGCATCTTGAGAAGCCTGGCATTGACGATAAAGTTGCTATATATATGTATGTGTGTTAAATCTATCCACAACTTTATTTTCATCTCTATCTAATCCATTTTTTTTTACAAGCGCACTTACAATTATAGTATTATTTGCGGGATTATTTTCTTTTGTAACTTCGCGGTTGTGTGATTCGGCAGAGAGCATTTCCTCGAAAACTGTGATTTGCCCAGTGGCATTGTCCAAAAGATCCTGATCAGGTGAGCGCTTAGGTGACTCTACAGGTTCAGCAGTACGAATGCTACTCTTGCTTGGTGACGATGAACGAGGACTGGCATTCTGAGTTACAGCTGCAAGACGTTCCTGAAGAGATAGTCGAGCTGTAGCTTGAGTAGTAGTGATAGATAATGCATTCTGCGAAGGGGTACGTCTAATAGCGCTGCGTTGTTGGTGTTGAGTATTGGGTGATGTGGTAGATTGGGCATTACGTGTGCAATATGCTGCAATATCGCTCTGGATCTTTGCCAAATCACGATCATTTGGCTAATTTAAGTGTATAAGAAAGGTATGTGCATAATTAGTTTGTGTAGAAGTTCGAATATTATAGCTTGCTAAGAATTAACTTACAGGAATGTTGACATCAAGGAATGTTAGAGTGTAGTTAATCTTGATAGCTGTAGAGAGAGATAGAAGACCAGCAATGTCGATACTTGGGTTCTTAGAAACATCGAGCCTATTGAGAGCGCTATTTTCGGGAAGACATTCTGCAAGTGCGATGGCAGCTAATAATAAATTCAAAGGCGTCAATGTGATTTGTTCAGCCTTCTTTTCGTCTTATATTTATATATTTATGTACCTTCCGATCCAAGTTCAGTAGCAGCTAGACTCAATTCTTTGAGAGATTGGTTGACATACAATGCTTGTCGAATAGCAACAACCTAAAAATAAAGGATATTAGTCTTTAATGTTAGCTTTTGATTTTATTTGCACACTCACACCATCTGTAGTTGGCTGGCCAAGAGAGTTGTAGGACAAGCTGAGAGTCTTAAGAGACTGGTTGTATTTCTACAAATGTACAAAGAATATGTAAGTCCCAAAATACCAATACCAAATATACACAAACTCTTACGAGGGCTTCTCCAATAAACATGCATCCTTTGGTGTCAATCTTGCAATCATTCATAGATAGAGACAAAAGACTCTTGTTACGTCTCAGGGCTTGAGCAATGTATTGAACTCCCTGTCTAAGCTCATTGGTGTCAATGGCAAGACTTTCGAGACCTCTCTGGTATAGACGATTGTCATCGTAGTCTCTCAGCATGACACCTACCCACATCGCACCCTGATAGTTGATACGATTATATCTCAGCGAAAGATGCCGCAAACATGTCGATTGGCGAATTCCAGCTGCTAAAGTTTCAAGCAATGGTAGCTTTAACCCACAGTTGTCCAATATCAAGCTTGAGAGCGAAGGTGAGGCAGATGTAGGAGTCCCAATTAATGCCTGAGCCAGATACCCAATCGCCTTTTTGTCGGGGATAGTTGATGTAAGGTTGAGTATTTGGAGCTTGGAGGCCTGCATATACACACATACAAAAGAGAAGTATGGATAAAGAGTATCAATAGCGGATTTATACACTTGCTTATTTATTTTTTGACCTTTTTTCTTGGTAATTTTTAGATCTTAGTAGCACTTACACCTTTGATATAAACTGCGACATATTTGAATCCAGTGGTCTTGATCTTCTTGTTGTCCATCAGGCTGAGCTCACAAAGTGTGTCTGTCAACAACAGACTATGTAAAAGTACTTTGATAGTCTACATGGCTAATCAGTAACGTAACTTTGCGATATGTATCTACATACGTCATCTTCTAGGTCACAGTTGTTGAGTATGAGTTCTTTTAAACCGAAATCTAAGCAAAGCACATCTGCCAATGGTTCTGCTGTGCGTCTAGTAATAGGTTGGTTGGAGAAATCGAGTCTAGTGAGACAAGTGCGGTGTTGGTTGGCCTAAAAACTCAAAATATGATTTTTTTTGTTTTTGTTTTTTAGAATATAAAAAAAATCATTTTCCTTATATATACATATAATGTACTCACAAGTAGTTGAGTTAAGAATCCAGGAAATAGCGGTTCTTCTTTACTCTTGCACGCCATGTCATAGAGGGCGTGAAGTGCTTGTGGTGTAGTACGTTGTCGGGTAGCTGGTTCAACAGACATCTTGGTTTTTTCGAATTGCTCGGAAATAGGATCCTCATTAGCCGACATGGTTTCTTTTGTGTCGCCTGAGGGAAAGGTTTGATACGGGTAGTACTCCGTCGTCAGATTTCTAACCGAGAAGCGGACTCGTTTGAGTTCTTTTGGAAGTAATTCTTCCTGAGTGTTGTCCACAGAAGTCTCGGGTGGTGGTGCTACTGGCTGTGCTGGAAGAAGTCTACGGAATCTCATGAGACCCGAGGATTTTTGCGGAGATGTAGGTTCAGATTCGGGGATCTGGCCATCAGTCGTGGGCGATGATGCGATTGCGAGTTTGGAATTCATTGATTGAAACCATGATGATCCCTGGTTGCCAAGACGGACTTGTTTAAGGATACTCTTGGCTGGTTTACAGCTTGGGTCATAAGCGAAGGGTGGGGTGGCATAAGATGTCATTTATTTGGTCTTTAAATTTTTAAAATTTGAAATTTAAAGAGTAAAAGAGAAAGGATAAAAGAAGCAGAGGCCAAAAAATAAAATAAAATATTTAAAATATTTTTTTTAAAAAAAAATCAAAGTAAACGGGAAACGGAGATGTAAAGGCACAAACACAGAGACACAGAAACACAGAAACAAGGCGACACACAAGAAAGAAAGAAATAAAGAAAAAAGATAAAGATAATGAGAGAAAAAAGTAGAGAGTAGACAGGTTAAATGATAGCTGTTCTTTAGTATTGGTTACAAGAGCGAAACTTTATTGTGCTTGAAAAGATATATATAAAAGACGGTTACACTTGAGTACAAAAGGTATTAATATTATTCACAGATTATTGTACAATTAAGCGAAGCAACATGGCTTAAGAGTTGACAGCCTTTTGGGCTTCACCAGACTTCTTTTCGGCCTTTGAGGTCACTTCACCAGTGGTGTTTCCGGTCAAAGCATTATAGGCACCAGTCACAGTTCCTTGGACCTGATCTGACAAGCCTTGGACAAATCCCGAGATATTGGCCGCTGTTTCCTGGACAACACCTTCGTTGTGCTGTGCTTGACCCTTGGCCTGGAGAGATTCATTACCAACCATGGTACCGACGGTATCCTTAGCATCACCAATGAGCTGGTCCTTCTTGGCATCGGTCTTTGAGGGGGCTGACATATTGATTTGATTTGGTTTGATTTGATTTGATTTGAGTATAGAGAGAGAGGTTGTTTGTTTGAGTAAAGTAGAGTAGAGTAAAGTAGAGTAGAGTAGAGTGGAGTAGTGTTTGAATGATGTTAAAATGAGTTGTCTATGGGTCTCCCTTTTTATACTTGTAAGTTGAAAATCTTCAAGCTTTCTGACTTCCTAATATGGACCTGACATCATCTCTACGAAATCTCTCCCTCATATTCTATTTTATCTGCCTATTCTTCCTCCTTTGGTCAATATAGGTACTTTTGGTAAAGAAGATCACCTTTAACAGCGGAGTAAGTTTAAGGTCTGGCCAATGAACCTAGTGAAATGACGTTATCTCTAGATGCTGTGCCCAATAATATTTTCGGGATCAATAATTTCCTAAATAGGACATGGTGGATTTATGTCATGACAGGGCAACCCAGATACTCTTTTATATATTAATCATTTACTCAGCAATAACAGGTACAGGTTGATACCTACATTGAAGGCTCAAGCATATGTCAAAATAATAGTAAGAAAAAAAAACAAGCAAAGGATTGGCTTCTGTTAATGAATCATAGTTTGATCGAATTTTTTCAGGTAACTAAGAATATTTCTCCTCTTCTTTTTCCTCTGTTCTTGTCTCACACCTGAATGTCAAATGTTTTGCTTATTACACCAAATCGGCTAATAGCATCAACGCTTGTCTACCTAAAGCAAAGTATTCTATTAATTACAGGTGGCTAACACTAATATGTGTGTGAATATATGTGTATAGTTTCATTTCGGTTAATAAATAGCCGAATTTACCTTTGAAATAAATGCTAAAATCCATGCATTGACCACTTGAGTAAATGGTCCACGGAGTCTAATATGATTTATGTGGTACCAAACATGAAAAGAAGAGGAGAAGAGGAGAAAACCGTAGTCACAGCAGAACATTCACCACTCAAACAAATATCCTAATGTCTCTCAAATAAACCACAATCGAATATTACAAAATAAAGGAATCTTTAGTACTACCTATTTTACATCAGCCAAATGAACGGATTATATATTGCTATATGTAATACTATTTTATCGAGAATATTCAATTCTAATAAACAAAAACAAAAACGTGGTTAATGTTGCAGGTTAATAACGTACGACCAACAACTGTCGTTGGAGTAACTTTGTTTGTGCTTATATCAATTATCCAGAACCCGGTCTTTTAGATATTCACATAGAGCGAACATTATATATAATAAGTAAAAGACCTTTTGTAAATTAAAGATATTTGAATCTGATTTATTTTATATGTACATACAATCCCTTTTCTTTTGTTAAGCCATGTCATTGTGTATATAATTCATTTATTAGTTTTATTATTATATTGCAAAAGTAACCCTGAGAATATCTTGTACGATCATTAAAATACTTTATCACCATAAATAATATAAATTGCTTGCTATTATAGAAACTGTGCAGCATAGATTCAGGGTGCTTTCTTTTCCCAGTCATTACATGATAATGTATAAACGTATCCTAATGGGCCCTAAGTAAATAAGGATTTATTTCCCATCTTTACATTCAATATCAAAATATAAATTATCTCTGCCTTGGTTTCTATACAAAATAGCCGGCTGTTCTACTCCACAAACTCAAATGAATAGCTCATAGATTGCCAACGTATCACTTAACCTCTCTTTTCTGATTTTTTTTCGCAAATAAGAACCAAGTAACAAAATAATAGTGATAATTATTATTGACATGAAACGCTCTTTTATTTATATATATATATATATATATATATGTGTGTGTGTGTGTGTGTGTGTGGGTTAACTTGGGTATGGAGTAGCGTTTGATAGCTCAAAATTGTCAATATAATATTCACCTACGTATTTACAGTATAATTTAACATAGCCATGAGGTATATCCGTTTCCCACAGATCCTTTGTCACTAATCCACGATAACTGCGCGTGACTTTTCGATCAATACCCCGGCTCTTGCTATTCGATTGGAATGCTTCAAAATATCTTAAAACAGATTCAACTTCTTTCTTTCCTAGAGTCCACACCACAGTTTCGGCTTTGGAACCTTTAAACTTCCCGCAAATATGGACCCACAATGGATGAGAATGAGGCACAGGATCATCTTTGGAAAGGCTAGCAGCAGTACTTTTGTCCGAATCATCATGTTGGACTATATCCTTATCTTGTTCAATCGTAACCAGGTTGACGAACCTATCTACATCATCGTTTTGATCCCTTTCGCCCAGATAATAGAAAGAAACCTCGTGCATCCTTAGCGTTTTGAGTTGAGTGTGTGGCATATTGAAATAGAAACAGCCGGTTTTGCTAGAAACAGAATCCTGGATTTCAACCTGTCTCAAAACCATGGTATTGAGCTGCCTGCAGCGGGAAGAGAGGTAGGTAAAGACGTTGGAGTGCATGACAGCTAATTCTATTTCGATTGTCTGTAAGCCATGTAATGGAGGGTATCTGGGAATTTTGGTAGTAATAGATATCTTCTCAACATCCATACTCAGGCTCAAAGTTTTCAAGGAGACCCAATTGTCCAATAGAATGTCTAGTTCAAGGTTGACACTGTACATCTTGAGTTTGACATGCACTAGATGAGAAAAGGAGTCGAAATATGTTGGAGTATGGAACAGGTGAGAGTCGGATATCTCGAGTTCTAGGGTCTCAATAGTTGTGGAGCAAGCTAGAATACATTTGTCGATAGTCTCCTGTGATTTCTCGAATGCATTGATGGGTTCACCAAGGCTAAATCTTAAATGCTTTGGTGAAACATCAAAGTGGCGGAGGGTTACCCAAAAGACGCTATGTACCCATTCTTTCATCTGCCTTTCATCTATGGCGAGCGTTTCCAGACGAGGGAAGAACTGGGCCAGAGTTGCAAATGCGGTAAGAGCTTCTTCTTGGGTCTCGAAAACCATGTCGTCCTCTTCTGAGATATCAGAGTATAAAGGGCTACCGGGGCTATAATCATAGGGGTCGTCATAGTAGGGACATTCGATGTTTTCATAGTATTCCAGCGTCGATTCTTCTTTTCTGTTTACTTTCCATCCAAAATTAGTGACCTCTGGATATTTTATTGCAGCATAGTATAGCCACCCGAGTGATAGCGTGTTATTGAAGAGATGAACTGTGATCAAGTTTGGTTCTGGAGAAAGACATCTGATTTTATCTAGATCTTCCGGATAAATAGCGCCAAATGGAACGTCCATATGGAAATAATATAACCGCGGCAGAAAACTGTGTAAGGTTTCCATGTCTCTCCAGGTCAAACGGTGATTTGGATTGCCATAGTCTTCTGTGATGATGAGTCGTTCGAGACCAGGCAAAACAGACAGCATCTTAAACATTGCTTTAGCTCGACTCTTCTTTGTCAAGCCGGGAAAGTGGATTTCGAGATGCTTTAATGATCCCCACAGTCCCCAGTTTCCAACTGTTCGTTGAGAGTATGTGCAAATATTGCCGTATTGTATACTCAGGCATCTCAGATTAGTGAAATAAGCCTGCATCCTACACAGTTCTGCATCGATCATGCCAAGATTTCGGGCCAAGAACAATGACCTTACACGATGACCGTTCTTTTCATATATATCTTGGTGAGCTGAAAGTGCATGGAAGAAATATTTGGCTTTTTCTTTGCAGTGGATGTTTATTGTATGCCACAGCGAGTTTTGAAAGGGTGCTGTCCATGTTTTACAGACTGTTGTGCACGAAAGTATGTCTTGGGTTGAAGTGAATGTAGCGACGATTGTCAGGATCTCGAATGGCAATTGTGATGCTGCCATGATGGAAGAAAAAGCAACGAGATCATTTCACTCTTACAACCACAAAAAAAGGAACTTTCTATAATTTTTGTACATGTTTTCATGGTTTCACCACGAATCTTATTTAAGACACAAACGAGTACACAAATCTATGAAAACAAGGGAGATTTTTATCTATCAGGACCGCACAAACCACCGTTTAATTTAATAATAATAATAATAATAATAATAATAGTATTAGTATTAGTATTTAGGAGAAATAGGCTCGTCAATTATTGACAGATCTTTGCTTACAAATAGTAAAGGGTAAATCAGGTTTCTTACTTACTTTCATGCTTTCATGCTTTCATGCTTTCATAATTTCCTTCTTTCTGTATACGTTCATATAAATATATATTGGCGTTTCTTAAAAAGAATAAAATCGGATAAAGTTGAAGAAAGCACAGCATACACTTGTGACCTCTCAAGATGTAGAACAGATAAAAGAAATAGCAAAAAAACTAGTGGTATCTCTTCTAATGAAACCAAAGGTTGATAGAAAATATGACATATACACAGAAATACTATACAAGGATGAGGTATATATACTCTTTATATCTACCAAAGTATATTACTATTACTATTACTATTACTATTACTATTACTATTACTATCACTATTATTATTACTATTTATTGGAAGTACAGAATATTGCTGTAGGACAAACATGACCAAAGCGTATCGTACACAAAAAGATCAGTACACCATCCAAAATATTGGTTTTTATTTTTATTTTATTTTTCTCAAAGGTACCAGAATATTATGGCCTACAAAATTTCTAAAAATCCAAGTCAAATAGATGTACGCTATTTTCACTAATGTTTCTCACACAAAATAATACTAGATTCTTAGACAGAAGAAAAAGTAAAAGGCAAGTCTGTGCAGAACTAATGGAAAGACCTAAGCATCTTTACTGCTTTTGACTTTGTCAATATTGGTCTTAATTGAGTGCAAATAAGACCAGTTTTTTTTAAAAGAAGAAGAGTTATAAATTCCAAGAACTCGAAACATCTGAAACATATTATCTAGAACTCTCTTAATACTTTTCTGTGGCTATTCTTTGTTAAGGTCTAAAGCTTTTTTTTTTGAATTACTGGGAAATTGAGTGCCTTTATTTCCCACAGAAAATGAGCAGTCACTTTTTTTTTTATAAAAAAAAAGAAATGATACAGGTTTTTCGGACCCAAACTGTATATTTTGCGTTCCATAAATATAAATAGGGAAAATAGGGGTGTTTTTGAAAAGTAACCCCTATAATCGCCTCTGAAAATACCCTTGAAATCACCCTTTTCTCCCCTGGTGTAAGATTATATATACATAGGGTTTTTTTTGTCCAGTTTGCCTTTACTAACTGGTCCTTTTCATTGCTACCCTTATATTTTAAAATTGTTTGATTAATTAAAACATCTTATTATAATTCAAAATATTTTACTGCGAAAAAAAAAGCAACAGCAAAAACTTAAGGCTCAAACCTTTTAGCAAATCTCGGTATTTAGAGACTTACAGATAAAGTAACAGCATGTGGTACATGGATATCCTCTATAAAAGTTATTCGATTGAACTATGAGATTATTATAAGCCTTGTAATTCATCCTAATCTGCTATATTATTCTTTAATAAATATTTGTGAGTAAATATAACAAAATCAATACATTGGCCATATCATACAAGATGTCTCTGGTTACCAGACCAGCTGAATTCATTAAGAGCAATGAACTTATCTCTCTGTAGATATCTCAAAAATTCACTTTCAACTAATATATATATAATGTTTCTTATAGTACAAATTAATGTATTATTAGTACCGTTATTGTATTGCTATATACTCAACCTTTGTGTCGTATTAAAACAAAACAAAAACAACTGTCTAAGATGGGGTACTGAGAATAAATGTGAGTTTGATTGCCACACATGAAAAAAAACCTCCAAAACTAAACTCCTTATTCTTGTTGTTGTATTGCTGTTTCTTGAAGCCAATATTATTTCTCATTTTTGTAATTATTGAATAATATACTAATATTTCATATATTGCGACTGATTGGAGATATTGATAAGAATATCATACCTGTCAACCTGTAATAATAATAACCTTTTATATAATGTTTTTAAAACACCTAGTAATATGTATTTTTTAAGCAAAAAAAAGCACGCATTTGCTGGTACGGAAGAGGTTTTATAGCCTGACTTACATAGTGTAAAATTGAAACTGATTATCTGAAAGACACTTTGTCCAAAAATATATATTATATATACATTTTCTGTGCAAAATGTGTAAATAATAAGTACTTTTTTTTTTAAAGAAAATTGTGAGGAGTATAGCCAACTATATAGAAACAGTGTGCCACCAAGCATTTTCTTGGCAGAGGACGCTGCCTGAGGCGACTGGTTTGGCTCACTTTGTATAATTTCTCTGCTGCTGCAATTTGCTCTTCTGAGGGTGACGTAGGTATTGTAGATTGGGTACCTTTCTCACTCTTTGAGTCGCGGATTCAGGTACGTTTTTTTTTGGTTGCTTCAAAAGCCTATAAATAGAGCTTCAATTTTTTGTTCTTTTTCCTCTTAATTTTCTCTTGTCCTCTTTCTTCCAATCGTACTTACTCTACACGCCTTTGCTTCCACAAACCCAATTATTTCTCTCTTGCACTATTTATGAAAAATAAATTTGTACTTTCATACTATCCTCTAATTATATACATTTAATCATTAAAGAAAAGAAAGAAAGAAAGAAAGAAAAAAGACAAAGAAAATTTCTTGATCTACTTGCTTTGTATCTGTAAAAAATTATATGAATTATATCTGTATTTTTTGATTCTGTTGGCACTCTACAAATAATACTAAACCCACATTCCCGTTAAGATTTTTTCAGCTTAGATATTATTATTATTTCTTATTTAACTATGTATAGCCCATCTATTGTACCTACCTCTCCTGAAGCCTGTCATGATGATGCTTTGTTCAATGGTCTGTGCAATAAACACTCTCGTTATGGCCACAAAAGACACGATGGTTTTTTGAATACTCCTCCCCATCAAGCACTGTCGGCCATTGTTCCAGACAGACTGTCAAAGGCACTCTTCGAAATTACCCCGACTGATATTCTGGCTAGGAAAGAGGTCGCTCTGTCTGGAGCTATTGGCTTCCGGTCAATATTTGGTACAGTCTGAAAAGAAAAAGCCTTTCTTATATATCCTTCAGAGAACTGACTCAATCTATAGGCATTAGTAATACTTCAACATATCCAACACATTTGATCTTGGATAGCAAAAGAAAGGCTACAATGGAACAAGGATCACATGACCTAGATGCAAATTTGCGCAGCCATGGCCAAATAAATGGATGTGGTGGAAATAGTGATCAGGACATGGAGAAAAGTAGAACACCCGTCCCTACTTATCCAGCACATTTAATACCAAGTCTATTGAGCAAGAAAGCTCCTTTGCCCACTATTAACTTTCTATCTGCAGAAAATTCATCAAATATTGTGTTTGAAGAGCTTCTGGAAGACTTTATCGTAAAGTCTACTATGTATGCCTGTCCAGAATACGACCCTACTGACAAGTGTGCACACAATTACATATCTACAAAGCCATCTATGGATACATCACAATCGAATAATGTTTCTGACTCTGCAACATTTCCTTCTGGCGGTGAATCATGCTGGCCAACACCATGCCTATCAGATGTATCCAGTGTCTTTGATATTTCCGAGCAGTCCCCTCTTATTCACACAAACAGCATTAACAACACCATCACTACAAATCACAATATCAGAGATTTTGATTTGTTTGGCCCCACTCACTTACCAAGCCCGAAAAAACCCAAGTATAAAAATTTGACCAGTCCATTTCAGGCGAAATCTTCCAGCTGTTTCATTTTGCCTGCAAGGACTACCAATAAAAGAAAGAGAATGCGAGATGCCTCGGTGGGCATTACATCCAAAAGGCACAGGTGCTCTTTGTGTAGTTATGAAGGGGCTCACACCGGAAATTTTAACAGACACATCCAAACACACTACATTATACGCAATAAGGTGGCATGCTCTCTTTGTGGCAGTCCTTATGCCAACAAATACAATCTTAGCAGACATGTCTGTAAGCAGTCTGTTATAAACAGCTACTAAATAGCCTTTTTTTGTATGACAAATTATGTCCCAGTATTATACATATCTACCCACATACATACATCAGTATATTTATCTGAAAATTATCCCCCCTCCCCTCATCTTATTTCACTCAAGTGTGTGGCACATCTAACATAGAACCACACAGCCCATTATTGTTTCACATTGTAAATTGTAAATCTAAATAAAGAAATATATATCCTAATACTTGCAAGTAATTGACGCTCGACAAGAAATTGGTATGATACAATGAAAAGGGAGAGAGATAACAATATTTTCTTAATTCGGTTCAATTAATCGCAGCAAGATTTTATTGGTAATCGGATAAAGTGTTCTTCAGGCTATAAAGAAGAGTAAAATCAAAATTTATCAATATTTAGTATTAGTGTATTTGCTTGTATAGATCTTTTTATAAGCTCTGATTTATTATAAGTCTTTGAGGGAGTAAGATGGGAAATGCCTTTTATTATTTGTTTGAGGATTATGTGGGCTATATGATGCCTTTGGATTCTTTGTATGATTGTGCTATAGGGTGGAAGACGAATCTGTGGAGTCAATTTCAAGCTCTGAATAATGAATGATCCGTTTTTTTAGCAGTGTTGAGGATCAAATACGGATGAAAAAGGTTATAATAAAAATTTAATAATAAGTGTTGATCGCAAATGATAAGTACTGTTCACCTAAAACCCAAAACAGCAGGAATGTTAGGACCTTAGATCTGATGGACTGATTACTGTTGTTCACCCCAGTCCTCTTTTGCGACAGTTCAAAGAGTAGGACGTATTAAAAAGAAATGAAGTTGTGAGCAGTTTGTAAATCTAACATTTCTCAAACTATTTTTTGCGTTATTTTTTAACTTTATAGCATAAAATGGCAAAGTAATGTTTGACATTTATTTTAAGTTTCCTCACTGTTACTTTTCTGGCTATGGCTACTTTCCCCACCTGACTGAACGAGCCTTAACAAGATGTCATTTCTACGTTTTTCGTTCAAAGGGGTCACTTCTTCTCTTCTATCTCTTCTATCTCTTCTATCTCTTTTCGCCTATTATCTTTTCTGTCTTTTCTCTGCTCTCTTTTCTCTCTTTCCTCTACACTCTTTTCTTGCTCTTTCAATATCTCGATCATTTTATCGCGTATTTCAATATCCGTAAATTTCTGTTCAATCCCCTCCACGATCTTTCTCCTCTTCTCTGCTCGTTCTTCAGTAGTACCAATAGATGCCTCTTTAACGTCGCGCATGGCGGTTCTCGTTTCTTCCATTACTTCATCATACACTGAGCTGACAAGCTCCAAAATGGCACCATAGTGTTCAATATTGTTTGGTCGACCCTGGCTTGTTTTTACAGGGAGAGGTATGGCATCTGAACGTCTTGTTGGCGTAGGAAGGGTTATGACACGTGAACTTCTTGTGGTAGGCCTTTCCACTACCACTTTTCCTTCATCAATGACCTTCAAAGGCCGAGAAGTCCCAAGGTACCCCCTAGTGATTCTTCCACTAGAAGACATACGTGTAATTGTCGCGCCCGATGTAGATGATCCAGATGAGATCATATATGTAATCGTGAATAATCCATCATTTATGGTGATCTGTCGCATTTCGTGATACCAAGGCATTCGGTACTGACTATTCTCACAATCAATTTGAGCGTATACTCTATCTGATTCTTCCATAAAGTCTCTTTTCAGCAACTCGAATCTATTGCTACACATGTTGCTGTCCACGGCTGACCGAAAAACGGTCGACATATTAACAAACTCTGGATCTTCCTTCAAGGTCTTCAGGAGGTTATTCCAAAGGCGATTGACTTTTCTCTGGTTATTACTCGTAGATATAAACTTGTCATAGATACCAGTATCTAAGACCACTTTCAATAATAGTCCTGTTTATTCTGTACACCATATATTTTGGCTTGTATTTCCAGTTGAGCTTTGTATTTCATTATCAGACTCTGATTCCCCTTCTTCCTCCAAATATTGGGCAGCTTCCTGAACTTCCACTTCGTCATTTCCGGCTGTCTCATGACCGGAAGGAATCAAATCTTCATTTGTCTCTAAGACAATATCAGGGCTTAATTGCCGGAGAGAAGAGCCATGTACACCATTCTGGGAAGGTTTACCAGGAATGATTTGGGGAGTATTGAATTTCATTGGGTAGCTAAGAGTAAAAGTATAAAACAAACAAGAACCTAAAAGAAATTGAGATGTCATTAAAATAAAGCGATTCTCACAGGTGGTGTCGATAGCAACCAAACCGAAATACCACATTTGCTTATCAGATATATTTTACCTTTTTACTCTCTTGTGAAGATAAAAAGGGTGGGCGTGGCTGTTGAGGATCATCGCTCGTCTAGGTGCAATAGTAGCAAAGGGAAAGTAATAAAGTGCACACGAGTATAGCAAGACTAAGAGGGAGTTGATGTCTTAATAGAGAAAGTTCAGTGAAGCATGGTATAAAACCCCTTTTACCTTGTTAAAGACGCTTTTCCAATTTTCTCATTCTGACAGCTGATTTTACCCTACACCCGTCTAGTAAATTAAGTATACCACATCGATGTCTAGCAGATCATATCGAGGAACCTAATCGCGGACAGGTGTCTGCAAAAAGGATCTATGACAGAAAACACAGCTGGAAGGGTTTTTGAAGTCCAATGGCACATTGTTTACAGTATTATTGAAAACAAAAAAAAAATACTTAAGAAGCAGCACAGTTGAGCCTAGCCTGCAAGGAGGCTCATGAGAACAAGAGACACACACATACACACACAATATTCAAGATGAACGCCCCAAGTTCATCTTTTTTTAAATATTACAATTCTTGATAATATGTCCTATGCTGTCTCAAAAGTGATAAATTGTGAGAAACCTTACGGACAGCCAGGGCAGTCTGAAAGTATAGATGCTCACGGAATGGCCAATCGATTGGAATATTTTCAATCGATTAAACTTTAAATCTCTTTTTGGTAACTTTTTTAAATACAAATTGGGTATTGTATATGTAACAATAAATCGTTGGCACGTAGGGTACTTGTAAGAGTCAATGTAACTTATTAAAATACTACTGCGAGGAGAGACGTTCAAGTTGAATAGTCTTTACGCCCGGGTCACTAGCTAGCACAGGTTCTATATCCTTAATGGAGGCGTGGTAACGAGGGACAGTAAACTACTTCAAGAGGATACGTTCTCGAGACAATAGATGTGCACTCCAATAGCTAGGATGAGTCAAATAATATTTAGTTGACTAGGCGTATGGGGATGAGAATCAGTTGTCAAAATAATAAAATGAAAAGTGTTTTAAACGAAGTAAAAAGAGATACTTTATTCATCTTCACTAAACTTCCTCTGTTATGGCCTTCTCTACCTCTTCCTCTCGCTCCTCCTATCTACACTTCACTCTCCTTTCTTCTCCGAGAAGAGGCGGGCGTCAACTACCACGCCCACCGTCTCAATACCTCGTATACAGCAGGGATAAAATCTGCAGAGGTTAGAAATAAAATACCATATATAGTAGTAAGCCTTTTATGTATGGAAGATGCATCTAATCGATTGGCCACTCCGTGAGCATCTGATAGTCGATAAGGAAAAGTTGCGATGAAAAGTAGGCATAGGTCGGGCGTCAGGCAATGTAAAACGATCTACAGAGCGATTAGCAACAAAATGCAGTCATGGGCGTGACGCCAGGCCGACACGAGAGGCATTTGCATATGATGAATAATTAGAGTATCCTAGCATAATATATCGAGAGGGAAGGGAAGGGATAAGGTGAGGGGAAGATAGAAGAGATTTAAGAAAATCATATCGAGGACGATATGAAGCAGGGACATATAAAACACAAATACGAAATGGAGTGAGCAAATTTGAACAGTGAACAACTGTGGCAGTAATACATTTTTTCTAGCTCTAGGTCCTAAAAGAGAATTATGACCAGAGTTCCCCTTCAGGTACGGTGGTGAGCCGACCATGGCAGTAATACAACGTCCACAGGGAGAGAAAAGGGGATCAGTAAAAGACATGAAGGGAGAGAGGGAAACGAAACCACAGTGAGGGGATCATAGTAAGTCGGGTGCTTGAAATTTAAGATGAGACGTCTGTTGAGGAGCGTCTGTGTTGGCATGAGTTTCTTGAAGGGTAAGTATGTCTAAAGAGAGTGAACGAAGATATCTAATGGAGAGAGAGCGACTATCGGAGTTTCCGGACTTGACAAGTCCGCGGCAGTTCATGGTGGCTATATTAATCATAAATTAAGATTTATCGTCGTCTACTATCTCATCATCGGCTAGTCCATGCTGGAAGTCTTTGGTGCCATCGTCGCTACATCTTGTGAGGCGGTCAACTTCTCGGTCGGTTCCTTGAGAGCCTCAACGGGGGTAGTCTTGGGTGGTTGAGCGCGGGATTCCAGTTTCGCCGTTACCTTGCGGGTTTTCTTGAAGGAGCTGACATCCACTGGTGGTGCTTTAGGGTGGACAGGTTGCAAGTGATCAGTCTGGTCGCAAGTGAAGCATCGTCGGGAGTCTTTGGGGTGTTCTGGGTAGTTTTCAATATCATGTCCCATATCCTTACAATAGTTACAGTGGTGCCCCATCTGTTTCCAGGTACCTAAAAAGCACAAGCCACCATTGTACGGGATCTTGTATGAGAGTTTTGCAAGGGTGAGGTCGGGGCGGAGAGGTCGTTCAAGGTAAGCAAAACCGGATCCATCGAAGAAACCAGATCTGAGGTGCAAACCGACTTCGCGGACAGTGCCATACGCGGCCAAGGCTGTTTTGATAGTCTCTTCGAGCAGAGGGCGAGGAAGGAAGGGAAGCTGAGTGAGAGATATACGCAAGATTGTTGTGCCTGGGGCAATACCCATAGAGGGGAAGTACGTCTGATCCCCTACTGGGAAGCCTTTGGTGCAGATGTCAGTACAGATGGCGGAACTGGTGAGATGCATTTCGTGGATGAGCGGTTTTTTTTTGGGGAATGACACTCCCAAGGTACATTATTTAGGAATGTTGGCTTTTAGAGAAGTCCAAAATTCATAGGCAAGGGTGGGTGCAGTGGGCGGTGTGAAGAAAAATGAGTGAGGGGATGTACTTTCGCGCCAGACGCGATTCGAAGATGTCGACAAGTTCGAGAATAAGACAACAGGTACTTGAACATGTTTGTTAGGTGCTATGGCCGCGTCGATATATGACATAGTGATTTGGTTGGGAGAAGGTGGTGAGGTTGAGGTATGGGTTTGACTTAGTGTTGTGGTGGACCCATTAGACGGGTCTAATACTTTAGCGGGAAGAGCCATGTACCTCTTTATATATACATTTTAGTTGAATTTACAGCCGATACTCTTTTATATTAAAAGTGCGCTGTAAAGTCCGTCTTTCAGGCCTGCAAAAAACAAAAGGAAGGGCCTAGCAAGCCACTTGATTTCGGTCGTATTTCGCCCTGGTTCCAAAATGGTAAGCATTAGCTTAATGTACAATGTATTCTCTTGTGAACAAAGACTTGGAAGATATTTCCTACTCCATGAAGTTGCGGAGAGACCTTTTAGAGACCTCAGATCTATTAGAATGCCTTTTTTCTTTCTTTCTTCTTTTCTTCCTTTCAGTGACATGAACACACACAGAAGAAGAAGAAGCAGAAATAGAAACAGAGAGGCAGACCGTCAAATTAAAAAAAAAAAGAGAAATAACCGTTAAATAACCTATATTTTAACAATATGCTGGCTTCTTCTTCTATTTGTGTGTAGTCTGGCCGTTTAATCGCACAAATCATTGTTTCTGTCGGTACAGTCGTGGGACGTGCTTTTATTGCAGCTTACAAGCAGGCAGCAGCCAGTAAGTAGGATTAGGAATAATGGCCATTGCGAATTGAATCGCTAGTCTCTTTTAAATTGGAATTATGTGATACATTTGAAAGAATAAAAAAAAGGAGCAATTCAGAGAACTTGACATTCTTGATTCTATAGATGCTGCTAATGGTGGTGGACCTGTAGCTGCTGCTCGCGGAGGTGCTAAGGAAGGTGCTGTCGATGCACTGACTCGCAAGACTGGCTTATCCATTGAAGAAGCCTGTCAGATCCTCAATGTTACAAAGGATGCGGATATTGCTCAGCTCACAAAGGTGAATATACATGCATAAACACACACACACACATATATATATATATATACGATTGGATTATTGTGAATGAAACACTTGGTATCAATGGGTTTTGTTATTCTTCAATTGTATTCTTATGGTTACGATTATTCTTTATGTAGAACTATGACCATTTGTTCAAGGTGAATGATTCAGCGGCTGGTGGATCATTTTACTTGCAGTCAAAGGTTGTTAGAGCTAAAGAACGTTTGGATATGGAACGGGCGGAAGAGCTGAAGAAGACTGAGAAACCTCAAGAACCCCCTGCCTCATCTGACACTCCTACTGGAACAGCATAAAAAAAGATAACACGAAGAAGGGTATCCAACTTTTTGCTCATTTTCTTTAGACCTTTATTTTCCTCCCCTCTCCTCATGCGTGTTATTTACACGTACACGTACACCCACCCCCATGTACATGTACATGTACATGTACAAAAAATGTTTATACTCTAGATATTTTCTCTTTTTCTTTTTTCTTTTAAAAAAACACTGGTCACTAAAAGGAATAGATGTAAAGACTTTCTTTTTTGAGGCTGTCACCAAATATCAAGAAGTAGAATAAGGTAGAAATAGAGAGAGAGAGAGAAAAACAAAGTGTAGTTCAATTATGATAAGGCATGCTATACTGAATAGAAAATAGTCTTGCTTGGGAAATCGAAATACAGCAGTAAGACCAAACACAATTGCTATCACTAGCACGATTAGTGAAGAACGGTGAATTATCAGTCATATACTCCAAAAGAAAAAACGTAATTAAACTACCATTTTTTTCTTTAAGAAATGCATGCTGTACTATTTTAAACTATTCGCTTCTGAAACCCTTTATAGTATCTTTTTTTTTCGTTATTGTGAAGAGAGAGAGAAAAATCAAAAAGTTGTGCACGTCTAGTTCATTTCTTTCTGATTTTCCAGAATGCATATAAACAGTCACTTTGACTGGTTTCCCGTTGTCGTTGTACAGACTATAAAATATGAGGAGAGAGAGTAGGTGTGTGTGTATTAGTGTGTAGATAGAGTGGCGCACCAAACCCACAACTTCACTTTAAAGATACAGTAGATATGGCCGGTGCGAAAAAAAATTCGTGCTATCCGAATTCGACATTAGATTTTGCCGATCTACTTCCAATCAGCAATCGACAAAAAGGAGTATACCGCAGCGCTATATTCCACGATGTTGATCTTCTCTTGACCTCATTCGTTAGTGTAAGTTAAAATATTCCGGAATGTAATAGTAATAATACAAAAGGACAAAAAGCCACTATTTTTTTTATGCCTTGACTAAAATAGTTATTTTTACCAGAAAGACGAACATACATACAGTTCCTTCAACAAAGTATGGAATGAACTTGAATTTGTATATGTACATTTTGGGTGCCTTTCCCAAGACTTCCACCCAGATTTTATGCATGTATTTTTTGATGCTATCCTTAGTAAGTACGCAAATAGCCAAGTGCTTGATACAAAGAAATGAAGGCTAATTTTCAGACAATGATAATTTAGGATATGCCAATAGTAATGTAACTGTTGTGCGTGTAGGTGTAATTTATGCACTCTACTTTATGTACCATTCTCAGCCTGAAGTGTGGGAGAAAATCCATATACGTGTTACCCCAGGTAATGCCTTTACAACACTTGATAGTCGAAACAAAACAACTGATAGATTCAACATAATATATGGATATATAGAAGAATGGAAAACGATGTTTGATTTTTATATATACTGCTGTCATGAGAAAATATTTCTTGAATCAGTCTTTGTGTTTAAACGGTTACGGGAAGAAAAGGCTTTTCATTTTACAATTACCACCACTATTAAAGGATCTAATTACTTGGAACAAAAAGAGGCGGAAACCCCCAACAAGTAAATTGAGACACTTGTAAAGATAGACGTATAGGTACTTACGCATATCTTTAGTTTATTAGACCGCTTACGGAACTTTAAGCAACAGCGGATAGAATGTGATGCAGTAAGTTGATTGTTTAATTTATTTTGCTAGTCTGTGTATGTGGGATACTGTAGATATGTCTATAATAATCTCAAACTACACATACTAAGCTTTAATGACATAATCGTAATCATACTCTTAATTAATAGGCAGGTATCAATTCTAATGAACACGCCACAAAGTTTAAGGCTTTAGCGGGAAAATTCAAGCGTGCCAAAGAAGCCACTCTCAGGACGCCACAAGCAACAATTGCCATTAAAGAGCTTCTTGAAAAACGTGCTAATATTAAAGAAAGCAATTCTCGCCTACTCCAGAGTGCACTGACATCAAGTGCACTGGCAATTGACGATAATGCATTTCTTGAACAACTTGATACGCCAACTACCAAGCTGTGGAAAGAAAGAGAAAGTCGGTTACGAGATTCCTGGATATAAAAATATATTACCAACCTTTATTTTAAGAAATTCCTTTTAATATACATGTATATAGATAGGCAAAAGATGCACGTATTACTAGCTTTTGTTATTACGTTCATTTAGAAATAAATAAGTCATTTAGTTAGAGTTTTGGAGAATTATTATTATATAAGCTGTACTATGGCGGTCACCCCTTTGCTTTGCCTTGGTTCTTTTTTTTTTTACTTTACTTTAAAAATATAGTACAAATAATAAAGCTCATTTGTGCGCAACAAACCCTGTGATTGCGTATGTATAATAAGACCAGGCATATTTGATGTAACCAAAGAAATTGATGATCCAAGTGCATTATCTTTTATAGCTAGAAATACAAAGGTAATAAATGCATTCTTTGGTTTCACTGATTAATATTTGGGTTATTCTTGAAAAAGATATAAAAAGAAGAAGAAAGAAGTTTATACGTAATTTACACGTTGTTTTTAGGGTTGTATCAAATAAGATTAAACAAGGTACTGAGCATTGAAAGAGATATAAAACACAGGATGTCTAATGATGCCAATGTGGGCAATAATATAGTCATTTGTGTGTGCACGCCAAAATTAAAATATTCTTTTTTTTTTAAAGAAAAAACAAGGTTGTATAAATACGTATATTCTCATATGACCCCATCTCATCTCATTGTAACACCGTGAAACAAGTTGTTTGAAAAAAAAAAAGAGAGAGAAAGAAGGAGAACCCATAGGTATCATAGGTATATGAAGCAAATAGAAGAAAAGAAATTGGGCTGTGGAACAAAAAAAAGAAAGGGCATAACTAGATGAGTATGTGTATGTGTGTATGTGTGTGTGTATGTGTGAGTGTCATTCAAATGCCATTAAAGACCAACAAGTTAGGGGTATCACTAGGTATCTTGGTCAGGACATCACGGCTACTGAGCTCAATAATCATGTCCTTGACTTGCTTTGGCGTCAGAATTTTGTCAGAGACACTCAAAATATAAGCAGACAGACCGGCCACATGGGGAGAAGCCATAGATGTGCCTGAGATAGTGTTAGTGGCGTACTTGCTACCCTTCCACACCGACAAAATGTTCATGCCAGGAGCAAATACATCAACGCATTTGCCAAAGTTAGAAAAGTAGGCACGCTCGTCCTTAATATTGGAAGCGCCGACAGTGATAGCCAACTCAGCTCGAGCAGGGGAGTAGTCGCATGCATCTCGATTGTCATTGCCTGCAGCAACTACAAAGACCATGCCGGCTTCAACAGCCTAGATTGATTCCACAAATAGAGAGAAAGAAATAAAGAAAGAAAGAGAGGGGGTGGGGGATGCAAAAACAGCAAAAGTAAGTATATGATACAAAGATTGTTGGAAACCACAAGACTTACACCATCAACGACCATGTCAAGACCACGACTCTTGCCTCCACCAAGACTCATGTTTGCAACAGAGCCTTTGTATGGCTTTCCGGCTGCCTTTGCTTCCGCAGCATCTTTCTCGTGTTGTTGTGTGGCCCAGTCGACACCGGCAATCACATCAGCCATTGATCCAGATCCATTGGACCTCAAGACTTTGACTGCCACAGGCAGAGCTTGCTTGGCCACACCATAGCGTTTTCCACCAATTGTGCCTGCGCAGTGAGAACCGTGGCCGTTACCATCGACATCTTCATCGTCAGCGGGCATAGTCTTTCCCCACGTTGCACGGCCTTCAAAGTCAACATGTTCGGTGTTGATGCCAGTATCAATTACATAAACTTTAATATCTTTGCCAGCCTCGGTTTGGTAGTCATATTTGTTATAACTTCTCAAGTCCAATGGCCGACGATGGGAAATACGGGCAAGTCCCCAAGGTGCATTGCGCTGCAACTCAGTGGCATATACCCGTGAATCTTTTTCTACAAAAGATACCTTTTAATTCCCAATGAATTAAAGAATTAGAACAAGTATTAATATGCATGTATATATATATATATATATATATATGTGTGTGTGTGTGTGTGAAAGACAGTGGTGGTTGTAATATACTTACATCATTCGATTGGCGAATTTGCTGAAGGACAGCGTCACTAAACTTTCCAGAATATCCTTTAAAGTACTGTGTATCATATATATGATCGATTCTGACCCTATGGTCTATCCAGGCAGTGTCTTGCGAGACCTTGGCTTGGATCCAGGTATTGTGTTTTTCAATCTGCTGCGGATGGAGATGAGGCTTGAGAGCAATGATGTATTGACCACCCAATGTCTCTGCATCGTCTGAAGTGTAGAGTGGGGCAAGTTTGCCTTCAGAGAAACGAATAGGCTGAATAACTGGTACTGCGGTAACATAGCCTGTAAGCAAAAGTGCGGCTGTCAAAAGAGTGATCTTCATTGTATGGGGGAGAGTCAGTAAGTGAGTATGAAAGTGGAACAAAAGGAGGTGAATAAATAGAATAAATATATATATAAAAAAATAAAATAAAAAAAGAGGCTGAAATGATTTGTAGTTTTGCTGTTCAATTGTTTGGCTTTGGTGTCTCACAAAAAGCCTTTATAAAGAGCACCTGTAGACGAAACAGATGTCGTGTGACGGAAGCATCTTTCTAAAAACAGTGTAATCGGAAACAGTCAAATATATATATATAAATAAATAAATTTGCACCCACAAGCACACCCACACCCACACGCATACGCACACGCACACGCACACGCACACGTACACGTACACGCACAAAGTCTTGTCAAAAGCCTATAGCTCATTTAATAAAAACAAATATAAATGTCATTCCTGTGGAAATACATCAACAAAATCCCTCATCAGTCTGCTCTTCAAGTGAGTTTTGTCAATTTATATAATTTCAATTGTTAATAGATCGCCCCTACACACATACACACACATGCATACAAAGTTGCGGACTAGGTCATTTGAAAAAGAACTTGTAGATCTGCCCGAAGAAGCACGATCTATTATTGATAATGTACAGTTACATTGGGGAGATTGCATTGAGTTTGTTGGTGCTCCTGGTACAGGAAAGAGTCCAAGGATGATTAAGCTTGCACAGCTGGTGGCATCAGATTCCTCTCAAGTGGTTTTTGTTGATTTCGATTGTCGTATTCATCTCCAACCATTTGAAAATCAATATCTCTATCAACCTCAAGATGAAGCAGAACGATATGGGGTCATATTGGGTCTCCGTCGGTGGTTGAGTGAGAATACAGATAGTGTAGTGGGTTGGGTTTTTGTGGATGGATGGTTGGACCAGGAACTGAAGAGGGAGTTAGTTTCATGTCAAGCGATGTGGGGCTTTATCTTGGTGACATCACGACAACATACCCAGATTGGTTCGCGTGTAAGCACAGACTCGAGTGTAAGCACTGTACGGCGTCATAATCAGCGTAATCAGTGCCATTCTATTGTGTGTTTACAGATGGCTTGAGCGGCACATCTGTATGTATTATATATGTATATAAATGTATGTGAGTACAATGAATCCAAAATTTAAGTCGCAGGCCAATAAAAATCAATTTCGCGTTTTTAGAAATAGAAGTCGTATTTTTGGAAACCTTGTTACTTGCTTAGAGTACCCGTAGCAGTAGCAGTATCAGTAGCATTTCCATTTTCAATAATTTGTAAGTGCTGATGAGCCCCACGCAGGCGTTTGAACATATTCAAAAAATAAAAGACTTGGATAAATAAATTATACGATCAAATATAGTTTTCTCTACTGGTAATCTTATTCCTACTTTAATAAAGGACAGGATTGAAAGCCTCAGCCTTACAACTTTCCTCGAAAGGTTGTGCATATTTCACCTTTTTAGTGTATTATTTTCTAATGTGAGAAACGGCTGGTTAAAGTTGGCGTAATGATAGTGGAGGAGGGCGAAGAAGGGATAGACTGTGATAACGTAGTAGCATTATCGGTCGTGGTTATGGTAGCGGGACAAACGATGTAGATAAAAAAAATGGTTTTCTACGAATCTCTTCCAAAGCTGCCGTGTGATCGTCAAGACATTACATTGCTCATTTTTTGTTTTTTGTTTTTTTACGGTTTCAATGTCTTGGTTCTCTAAAAAGATCCGTTTTCTTTGGCTTAGTCCATCAATTGCTCGAAAATACAGATCTTTGAAAGCAGCAGTATTTTCTTCTTCTTTGTCGATTTCTGGGGAAACAATCCATCCTGCAATTAGATATCATGCTTGTATCGTTTCGTCATCACGCTCTTCCGTATTGATTAATGGTAAATTTTTATCTGTCAAAAAAATGAGCTAGTTTAGCCATGACTTCTATCGGTTTGCTTGTTTATTTTAAAAGAGAAAACAAGTTCTTGGCCATCTATCTGGTGCATGGAAGATATTTTACAAATGGAAAATTCTGGGGATTCATAAGTTATTCTTGTCATGACTTTGGAAGTGTTACAGGTAAGTATGATCAAAGACAATTGATGGCTATTTATATGAAAGGGATGTATATAGAGATAGAGACAGGATAAAGAAGGGAAGAGATGTTACGCATTTTTATGTACCTGCTTAAAGTGCATCTGGGCGGAGGTACAACCTTTCAAGAAAGTGATACGTTTTCAAAAATATAATTTTTATTTCCAAAAACGTGAGACTGATTTTGATTGGCCTACGACTTCAATTTTGACTCTCTGGTGATCTCGATTTTGATTGGCTGCGACATTGCATTTTGGATTCACTGTATTGTATTGTATTTTTGTATATGTATATGTATATAATTGTGAGGTAGTAAACCTTGTAAATACATGGTTCCTGTTATGTCAATTGGTGTTCCTGTGTGTGTGTGTTTGTGTGTGTGCGTCCGTTTATTTTTCTTTTGTTCTGTTCTGTTTTCATTTCTACTTTTGGCTTACCATTTTTTATTTATTTATTATTATTGTTGTTACTTATAAAGTTCTTCCTCTTATATTCTTCTTCTTCCTCTTCTTCTTCTTCTTTTGCTTCCTTTGATATATCTATATACATCTTTTATTTGACCTCTTTTTCTTTCTATTTATTATTTGCTGTCTTTTTGGCTTCTGTTTTTTTTTTCTTTAAAAAAACACAAAAACTTTTGTGCATTTTGATACATAAAAAAAAAGAAAAGAAAGAAAATATAGTAATAATGCCTGTTGCTGATTATCATCTACAAACGTTTTCCAGCGCTATCCTAGACGAAGGTTCTCCCCTTGATGTATCTGTAATTGAATCAACGATAATTCTCAAGGACGCCACTGAGGACCGTGCGGTAACGGTGAGCCTATTACTATCTTTTTATAAATATATATATATATATATATGAATTTATACTAACTCTAAATAAATAAATAAAATATATATGTAAAAAGGTTTTTAATGTGCTTATTGACGACACCGAAAAACACCTTTCGCTTGTACGGTACATTGCAGACTTTGTCGAGTTTAGCCAACGGGTAATGAATAATTGCAATAAACTAAAATAATAATAATAATAACAATTTAAACAATGAGATACACACACACAGAAATATATAATATATAATATATAATATATAATATATAATATACACACACAAATATATTCAGTTACTCATGCGCCCAAGAGAGGCCCTTGTAGATCAAAGCTCATTACCCTCGTACCAAAATCACCCTTCCTCCACTCTATGACCGTATTGAGAATAAACGCTATGGCTATGGCCTACGAACCTTTTTTACCGGACTAGCCCTTATTCGTCGTCGTAAACCCAACTCTGAAAAGGTTCAGCAATACATCCTCCAATGTATACAGCATCCTCTCATTCGCCACTCGTCCCTCCTTCGCGATTTTCTCTCTGTTCAGCGTGAGGGGGACAATGTTTCCAGACGTTTTCCAGATATCATACCCCCTCCTACATCTCAGCCAATCGATATTCCCCTATCAATCTCCTCCCCTCTGTCGACAGCAAGGTCTTCTGTTCTATCGTCATCAATATCGTCATCGTCATCATTAGCCATATCCGAATCTTCAGATTCAATAATTTCAGCACCAGAAACTCCTCTAGACAACAGTCTCCCAGACACCACCTCTACACTCCCAAAGACCATCAGTGACTTCCAGTTCATCCGTGTCTTGGGCAAGGGATGCATGGGTAAAGTACTGCTGTCTCGTAGCCATCGCTCACACAAACTATATGCCCTCAAGGCTATCAGCAAAGAATGGGTTATCACCCAGAGAGAAATAGAACACACCAGAACAGAACGAGACATTCTCACACGCATTGCCCACATCAATCATCCTTTTTTGATTCGTCTCCACCATTCGTTCCAAAGTCACCATCAATTGTTCTTGGTATTGGATTACCATGTCGGAGGTGATTTGGCCACTCAATTGGCCTTCTGGGGTCGTTTCACACCCGATCGATGTCTGTTGTACACGGCTGAAATACTCTTGGGACTCCAGGAACTCCATCGTCAAGGAATTCTTTACAGGTAAGAATTTTTTTTTAAAAAAAAAATAGAATCGATGCCAATGGTATTATCTTTAGGTAATCGATCGACCCAGTCAATCGGATAATTGACCCTGTCTTTTTTTTTGTATTCTATTCGGCAGGGATCTTAAGCCAGAAAATGTCTTGGTTGGGGCAGATGGCCATTTAGTCCTGACTGACTTTGGGCTTTCTAAGCAATTCAAGTCTGACTTGAGTGAAATGGAACACCAACGCACACGCACCTTTTGTGGTACACCAGAGTACCTTGCACCAGAAATATTACAAGCCCAGGCCTATTCTTATCATGTTGACTTTTGGAGTCTAGGCACGATTCTCTACGAAATGCTGACAGGAACCACTCCATTTTGGGCAGAATCCCGCGCAGAGATGTATCGACGAGTGATGGATGATCTTCTAGAGTTCCCGCCCGATCTTCCACCTGTCACAACAGACTTTATTGCCGGCCTTCTTGAACGCGATCCGGCCATGCGACTCGGGACCGGCCCTGGAGGAGATGTCCTCATTCGCTCCCACCCTTACTTTGACTCACTCGACTGGCCAGACGTTTACTTTAAGCGCATCGAACCTGCGTATGTCCCAGACCTCACCTCAGACACAGACGTCAGCCATTTTGACCAAGATTTTGTACAAATGTCCCCACGCTTGTCGATGCCTCTTGGGGATGATATCCTGGACGCGTTCCCGCACGCTTTTCAGGGGTATTCCTACAAGGAAAGCTCCCTCATGTCTAGTTCTGATAATAGACCCGAAAGTATGTATGGCACAGACGAGTACATGCCAGAATACAACCATCCTGGAGCTGATCCTGCAAAGCCTGACCACCATACCTACTCTTCTGGCCCATTCATGTGCCGTACACCCAGCTACAGCCTTCCAAGCTTCTACCCTCCTTCAATCATGTCCCTTGATTCTGTGTATCATGTCGATGATATTTCTTCTATTTATGACTGAAGGCTATACTTCTCCAACTTTTTTTTTTCTTTCTCTCTATTTCTCACGCACATTACACATTACACATTACACACTACAAACTGTACACCTCACACTGCACACCGCACACCGCACACCGCACACACTTCTTTTGCTGGTCAAAAGATGGAGTTCCTTTTTTTAAAAAAAAATTCCCATATACATCTTTATACACGCTCTCACCCTCAATTACATACACTTAAAAAAAAAGAATTTGTACCTTTTTATTGCTGTTCTTTCTGCTACTTCTTGCTCATTTTTTTTGCTCTCTTCCTCTCCCTCTCTCTGTCTCTCTTTATCTCTATTTCTCGCATTACTCCTTATTACTCTTATTATTATTTTTATTGGTATCATTGATATTGTTCTTGCCATTTTTTCTGTTATTATTGTTATTATTATTTTTATTATTATTATTATTTTGCCTACTAATATAATTATTATTATTGTTACTGGCATTATACTGTTGCGCTATTTGATGTGTGTGTATTTGGATGGATTATTACTTTGAAGCATGATTCATAAAAGGCTGCTGCAATGCTTTTTGCAATTTCTTCACCTTTTGATCTCCAAAACCAGGACACATGGCTATTGCCTCCGCAGAAGCTTTGGTGATCCCTTCAAATGATTCAAAATTTGATAAGAGAGTTGTGGCATCTGTTTTGTTCACAGTGTTGACGTTTGTAAGACAATCGGTCATCTTGATTTGGTAATCGTCTACCACACGTTCTCGCAGTAGATCAGTCGACTTGTTCTCAAAGTACTTGTAGGTCTCCAAGTACCGGCCAGCCTCTTCTAGACTCCAGGCCAGCATGAGTGTAAAATTGTGGGTTATGACTGCACAATTGAGCTCCCTCAATGCTTCTGAGGAGCTGTCGATGTCAACAGAGACCAAGAGTACTTTGAGGACATAGGCATTTGCAAGCTTATTCATGCGCTCATATATGTATTCAGGATGAAGACGATGGTAACGCAAACTCAGATACAGTACACCCGTCGTTTTTCCCACCACATAATCAGGTCTGATTGCACTGTCGAATTCCCAGGCCACGTTACGAATATATTTGAGAAGAGGATTGTCTTGTTGAGTAGTACTCACAAGAATAGTATTTCCGTATGATTTTTTGGTGTTATTACTACTGGTGGTCTGGTGGTTACGCCATGCGGAGGGATTAGATTGAGGTTATTTACATTGATGGGGGATGATTCAAAAGAGAGTTGGTTGTCCTGGCTGTTCCTTTTGTTTTTCCCATACCAGAAAGAAAGCAAAAGGCAAAGTTTGGTTGACATGAATGTTACCTTGTTAAAAACTTGTGCTCTTTCTACTATCTTTAAAGGAGATGCCGCACAAAAGTCTTTATTATTTTCAGTCATTTGGGTAGATTGATGTAGAGCAAAACAAAAATGATAAAGTATTATGTGTATTGTATGTGTATTGTGTGTGTGTGTGTGTGTGTGCTGGGTGGGTGGGGATTTCTTGTTCAATGGTGTACTTTTTCCTTTTTAGGAATATAACAGTCCATTTTATTTTATTTTATTTTATTTTATTTTATTTTTTAATTCAGTGATCAAAAGAGGATCGCTCAGCTTCTTTTTGCTTTTTGTTGTTGTTGTTGTTGTTCTTGTTCTTGTTCTTGTTCTTGATGTTATGAAGTTACGGGTGGACTGATTGTTAATAGCAGTTTTTGTACTTTATTTTTCGTTGATACCAGAAAAAAAATCATGAGAGAAAATATGGCTTGTAGTATGATCACAAGAGCGAGAGAAAATGATAGTAATGAAATACTGATTTATTCCATTTTTAAACATATGTATTTATATATGCTGTGTGTATTGATTTTATATCTAAATTTCTCTTGTGATAAGCGCCCTTTCTTTTCTTGATATATATAGCTATATTTTGTGAGAGTAAGAATGGTCTAATGGATATTGTTGTTTCTTTCTTTGGATTTAACCCTTTCAAGTAAATAAGAATGCAGAAGATTAACAAGATTTTCGATATATTATAGGCCTTTGCGCCCTTTTTTCTTTTTTTTTTCTTTTCTCTTTCTTGGGTACAATGTCGTACATTGACAGCTTTCAATTACTGTAACTATAAAAAGCAAAGGATAGGATATCTGATAAACAGAGTCAAGAGACTTTCATTTATCTTGATCTTTTATATATTTGATTTTAATTGTGTGGGTAAATTTGCAATTAAATATTGGGATCTCAACCAAGCCAAAAAGTTAATATTTCAAATAAGTGCTTGACTTGTTATTTCATTAACATTAACATTAGTATTAATATTCAATTGTGGTGCTTTTAATAGTACAATTCAAGGTTTAATCTTCACAAAAAAAATGATACATGTGAATTCTGTGACAAGGCATTGTTCTAATGTGCTTCAATCCTAGTGAGCACAGTGGCGTCATGGATACATTACACAGTACAAAAAAGAAAGAAAGATAATAAGCTTGTAATGAATAACAATAGTCGGAAATACGGACACAGATACAGATACAGATACAGATACAGACACGGACACAAACTACACGCGCGAGATGTCTTTAGTCTTTAGATTCGAGATATATTTAATGACAATAAATGACTCATAACAATAACAAAGAAGAATAAAACAATATTTCATTAATCGAAAGCCATGAATAATTTCTTACTTTTATACACTATCTATGTATGTACCTGGCCACTCTCTTACTTTTCTCAATATAGAACCTACAGTGCAAGAACCAAATAAAAAAACAAATAAACAACAACAACAACAACAAGAAAGTGAATTGAATTGAATTGATTTTCTGTGTAAATAATATTCTCAAAATCACTGATCATCTCAACCTCTTTAATCCAATAAAATAAAAATTAAAATTAAAAGAGTGTATTCCGTACTGACCATTTTACCGGTCACACGCCCTCATAACGTAGATACAGGTTTTTCGGACCCAAATGAGCTTTTTTTTTTGGCAAACTTTCGGTTTTTGGTGAAAATTAAATGGGCAAAGTTCAAGTATCGAAATGGTGATATTTGGACACTTACATGAAAATAGAAATTATGAAATATGATTTTCCCCACCCTCCCTTCCCTTGGCTAACTCCGCTAGTAGTGATTGGCATATAAACTCTAGAGTGGCTCTAATAGAGTATATAGTTGATCTATTTGATGCGGGTTCAGACTAGGGAATGTGAGGGTGCGGATCAATCATATCTCATAATTTCTATTTTCATGTAAGTGTCCAATATATCACCATTTCGATACTTGAA